GCTCTAACCGCTGAGCCAAGCTGGCCATGGTGAAAGGTGTCACTTTTTAACACCAGTTTATGTGCTAGGAAGGGAGAGGTCCCCGTCCAGTCGGAAGACAGCTTGGGTGCGGGCGGCCAGGAGGACCCTCCACCAGTGCCTGTGAGTGATCGCAGGAACGTGAGGAGGGCGTGAGCCATTTCAGACTCTAATGGGCAGACAACCTCTCTCTGGCCCGCCTCCTGTCCTGAGACCTGCGTTTCAGCCTCAGGTCCTCCCTGGAGCTTTGCCCTCACTGAGCACAAGCCTCTCGCTCCTGAGGCTGCTCCGGAACCACCACTAGGAGGGGCCAGGACCCACTCACGCCTTCCTTCCGGAGGGCCACTGGGGGACTACTAGTGACCCTTGGCCGCAGATGCTGTAGGGGTGAGCGGGTGTGCTCAGAAGAGCAGCCCCTGGATGAACCCTGACCTGGAGTCCCCTTCTGATGCCTAGCTTTCCCCACGGGGCTCACGGGGTGTGGGCCTGTGACACTGGTCCTGCTTCATGGCTGGCCATCACAGGACGTGGCCAGAGCTCCGGGCCCGACCATGGGGCAGGACAACAGGCTGAGCAGGGCCCAGCTGTGCCAGGACTCAGCAGCACTCCTGCTCAGAGAAGGCCCAGTTCCCTGCAGATGCGCACCCCTGAATCCCCAAGTAGGTCCCTGCCCTAGGCAAGGGTAGGACACTGGTTGGCTAGGCCGCCCTGAGCAGGGCTGATGGGTGGACAAGCCTCCCCAGTGGAGAAGGCGGCCGGCCTCTGTCATCGGCCCAGAGTGTCCACTGCTGGGTTTCCCTGTGGCTCTGCCAGGGTGGGGGCAGGGCAGGTGCCATCCTGTGTGGTAAAGTCCAGGTGGACCAGGGCCTCCCTCTGCCTGAGGAGGGTGTGTGCCTCAGGAACCCGACTCCGGCCACATCTTCCAGGGCCCGAGCTGACTCAGTGCCCCTCTGGGTGGTGGCGGCAGGACAGCCTCCTTCTCGGCAGCCTCTCCGCCGCACCCGCACCAGCCCTGAGAAGGGCCCAGGTCGCACCCGGGCATAGGGTGGCACCAGCCTCGTCATCCAAGGCTTCCACATGGGCTGCTCCACACACGCCCTGGAGGGAGTCAGGTGGGGTCAGCGTGTCAGGCCTGTGGGCCACCTCCCTCCCTCCTTCACACCTGGAAGGGTGGTGCCCACCCTGCTGCCCTAGCCCTGGGAGGCCCCCGACCCCATCTGTGACTAGTCCCTGCCCTGGCGCTCCTACTGAAGCGGGGGTGTCCTCCCCGTCCGGGCCCTGACCGTGGCCATCAGCACTGCAGGTGGCCCCAGGGCAGACCCTCCAGGAGGGTTCTGGCACCAGGTGACCTTTCCAATGGGAAGTGCCCTCCTGGTTCCTCAAATAGCCGGGCAGCTGGCAGAGAGGTGAAAGGCAGGGGCTGATCGCTATGGTAACAGCAGGCTGGTGAAGACTGGGTGTCCCTCCTTCTCCCTTGAAAGGAAAAAGGCGAATCTGAGAGCTAAGGACATGGTGGGGGTGGGGCTGCACCTGGCTGAGACCCTTGTTGGCTGAGGAGCAGCCATTTGGAAGACCCAGGAGGGACACCCTGAGACCCAGCAGAGACTTGGGGACAGGTGGGCAGGGGACCCCAGCCTGTCACTTCTGCACCTAGGACATTCCCCTGCCTCCAGAATCAAACGGAGAGTGGCCCCCAGTGCGGCCTTGATGGCACCCCCGCCTTGCTGGCGGTGCTGCAGGTGACCTCTACCACGGCACAAACAGCACAGGGGCAGGGCCCAGCCAGGAGACTGTCTGCTGTGCTGGCCGGAGCCCCGGGGCAGGGAGCTCAAGGTCAGCAGACGGGGACTGGCCTCCCCCCGGCCTGCAGCTGTGTGCCCAGGAGGGGCCCTGGGGCAGCGGCACCTGGAACAGTCAGACCCACGTCTTAACCCAGGCGACTCCCACACAGTGTTTCTGAGGCGATGACCCCTCGGGGGTCCTTGTCAAATGTGAGATGACCGACTGCATGCAGGGCCCCGGAAAGGAAGCCCCCGGGGGCTTCCCGAGGCTGCAGAGAGGGGTACGGACTGTGGGGCTGCTGGCAGCTCTGACACCAGTCACAGGGAGGCCTCGGGGCCTGTGTTCCGTCCCCAGACCTAAGCCGGTTCATGACCCAGAGCCCGTGAGGAGCAGGGCCAGATCTGTAAACAGCCCACACTGGTCACTGGCATGTCCCCAAGTGGCCATCTTCAGGGGAGGGGTTGGGTGTGGCAGCTTTCCTGGACAAACTCCTGGTCACGACACTCGACATGCCGCTGCCTGCAAATGTGGTCTTTTCTGTCCCATCAGGAAGGGTTCAGAGGCGGCCGCAGGAGAGGGGCATCCGCGCACTTTCACAGTTTGCCTGACGCGCCGACTCTCTGCTGTCTCAGTTCGATCCGAGAGCCATTTCCTTGAGGCCGTCATGCTACCTGGACACGTGGGCGAGAGGTGGGCACATACCCTGGGGTTGAGCCTCGGGAGCTTTAGGGACCCCCCCACCCCCGTCCAAAGTGTTGAGATATCCTAGTCAAAGTGCAATGAGATGCGGTACCTAACTCCGCCCACTTCTAAGAGGCGCGGTGCACGGTGGGACGGTGGATGTGGGGGACCACCCGTGCCACACTCGCTGCTCTGACCCATTTCCTGGACATCAGGTCGTGTTGGTGTGAAAGCCTCTGTGGCAGGTCCAGGTGAGGCACAGCCACCTGCTGCTTGGGCCACGGCTCTGGCAGCACCGAGCGCAGGGCCTCGGCCAGGCCCAGGGCACCCTGGGCAGGCTCACTTCCTCCTCCCCAACCCTCTCCTCCGACTGAAAAGGTCTCAGGCTTGCAGGACGCTATGGGAACCATCTGATCCGGTCTGTGACCCAAGCACCCAGTGAGGGCTGAGTGTGCAGCGGTCTGTCCCGAAATGACTCCTGTGCTGGGCGGAGGGGGCAGCCCCGCGGAGGTGCTGCCTCCCTCGCCCGCCAGGTGCTGCCCTCCCTCGCCCACGCCTGGCTGCCTGGGGAGCTCCCTGTCAGCTGCGGAAGAGAAGGGAATAGTGCAGACAGGATCCCGGGCGACGTGGACACCCAACCTCCGTGGGCGGAACCAAGGTGACAGCTGGCCCAAGTGTGGCTCTGCCACAGGCAGCATTCAGGAGGTTGGCCAGTTGGCCAGCTTCAGAAAGCCCAAGATGGGAAGCTTGGGGGTGAGGCGGTTTGGGGAGAGGCACCAAGTGAGGGTGCTGTGTCCCACAGAAATGCCTCCATCTCATAAGCAGGGCCCAGGTGCAAAGGGGCTGTGGCAGCAGGGACAGAGGCATGACCCAAGCAATGGACTTCCCCAGGTCTTAGCACAGCTCCAAGCCCAGCCCCAAACCAGCAAAGACCAGAGCTAACCTGTCAGTGTGGTCAGCGGGTGGGGACGCATCAGGAGCCTGGTGGCCATCTGACTACACGTAAGCCACAGTCATCATAGAGATGGGGGTGTACCCCTTGTGTACAGAGGGGGCACAGAGGACTGCCGTCGAGTCAGTCACCTCCAAAGGAGGGGTCCATCTTGCCAGGACGGTGGCAGCAGCTGGCACCAGGAACCCACAGCCGAAGTGTGGCCTTGAATTCGTGCTGTTTTGCCAAAAACCAGAGCACGCAGGGCTAGGGAGGAGGCGAGGGGGCGTGGCCACCCACCATACCCCTCACTGCCCGATGGGATCTCCGCTCAGCATGTCTGCAAGTCCTGGTGTGCACGGAAGGACCTGGTCCACCAGGGCCCTCCCAGTGAACTAGAAGCCACGCTGGCCCCTGACCCTGGGGTCCTCGGGATGACTGGCAGGTGGAGGAGAGGCTCTGCTTTGCGCTGGGACAATGGATCTTGACACCACGGAGAAGCAGGCCAGGGCCTGGGAGCTGACCTGTGTTTACCCCAAAGTTCATATGTTGAAGTTTTAACCCCTAGCACCTCAGAAGTGATCATGTTCGGAGATGGGGCCTGTGGAGAGGTGACTGCGAAGAGGCCCTTCTACCAGGCGACTGGAGCAGAGACCAGCACACAGACACGCACAGGGAGAAGGACCATCTGCAGGCCTCAGAAGGAAGCTGCCTGCCCACGCCCTGATCTCAGACCACCAGCCTCCAGGATTGCGAGAAGATACACTGTTTGAGCGGCCCAGACTGGTGCTTTGTTACAGCTGCACAAGCTGACTAGGACAGAGCTTCGACGGGGCAGGGACCCGTGTGGTCACGACAGTCAGTGGGCAATGGTGTCCCAGGAACACACAAGGTCCCCCAGGCCCCGAGCCCTCAGGCATCCACATGGGGAACGATGCTAGCTTTGGGGTTCAGATGGACTTGTGACCAAATGGACATCTCCCACCCATGCCAAGGAGTTGGTGGCCCCTGAGCTTTTCATGTAGACATGGGGGAGAGGGCAGTCTGGGGGAGCCAGAGGGCCGGGCTGAGCCTTGTCTTCCACCTGCCTTTCCAGACTCCTCCCCTCCCCATCTGAGTTCAAGGCAGCCCAGAGGGTGGTGGAGAGGGGGAGGTGTGGGATCGGGCCTCCACACCCTCCACTCCACCCCCAGGTCCCCCCAGGGCCCGAGGTCCATGCTCCTGCCCAGGTGAGTTCTCCACTCCTTTCTGTATCTGCACCAGCAAGTGCTCCTTCACCTACTCTGTCTGCCCGGAAGCAGTGGGGCTGGGGGCTGGGGTTCTGTGCCACCCCTTGTGGCTTCCTTGCCCCTTGTCCCCAACTCTATAAGACATCCCCAAATCGTCTTCAACTGAGCATGCCATCGGTTTCCTTCTGGGCCCACATATGGAACCAGGATGTATTGGCCTTTACTGCCGCTGGCCACCTGGAGCCCACCCTACCCCCACCTGGCAGGGTGCAGGGAGCAGCCCCGCTGGGCCTCTGGGAGTGGTCCCCCTTTGAGCAGAAGGCAGAATGAGAATAGAGCCTGCTGCCCCTTTGGTGCCACCAGAGACCCCAGCTGGGTGTCCTAATGGCAGCTGTACCGGGGCTTCCTCCGCAGCTCAACTTGCTTTCCGTCCTGGGACCCATGGGTGGGGGAAGGGAAGCAAGGAAGCTTGCTCCAGCCAGTGTTCGTTCACAAAGGGCGACTCCAAGCCCAGGGTGTAAAAAGGCACTTTAAGGGGTGAGTGGCAGGATGGGAGGGATGAACGCAGCTGACAACAGACTGAAGCTGGTCCAGCCCAGAGGGTCAGCACAGGCTCGAAGTCACCGGACAGCAGTGACCCTCACGGGGCAGAGACCTCCAGGTACTGCACAGGGTTTGAGAAGGGGCCTGGCCGGGCCCAGTAGTCCACAGCTCGAACCCGGTAGGAGCCAGAGACGACAGCGGTGTCTGGGGACACAAAGGTACACGCATGTTCTTGAGCATGTGACCCCCCTGAACCCACCCCAAATTCCTAAAGGCCTCTGACTGCAGGCTTGGCAAGGCCCTGGACCCCACCCCACAGGGCACCGGGCTGAGGCCCAGGAGTTGGTGGCTGACGCACCTGGGCTGAACACGAAGAGGTTGAAAGTCGACGGCTTCCGGCTGATGGGAGCATACACCTGCCCATCTGGGGAGAACTGGATCTCATATGTCCACAGGCACCTGGGTCAGTCAGGACCAGGGCTGAGGTCCAGGTGGTCAGGCGGGGCAGGGCCCCCAGAGCCTCTTCCCGCCAGCCTCCTCCCTGGCTCTCCCAGCAACCACAGGCCGCACTGGCTGAGGGGAGGGGAGGGGCCTACCCCCTGCAGTGCCCCCACCCCACTCAGACAAGGTTGACTGCTATCTTCGCGTGGGGGCAGGTGTGGGAGCGGAGCAGGAAGGGGGCGTCAGGAGGGGGGCAGGGTACGGAGGTGGCCACACTCACGCACTTTGAGCTCATGCGCTCATCAGACCAGACCAAAAGCAGCTGCCCACGGGTCAGGGGCAGAGCGCGGAGCCGGGTCACCTGGGAAGAGCGAGGCACTGTGACCGGGGAGCGGGGTGGGCGGGGCCTGGGTGGGCGGGGCAGCGCGGAGACTTGCCTGGCCCGGCGGCTCCTCGGGGGGCGCGCACACGTGCACCAGCAGCAGCGAGGGCAGCGGGAGCTCGGGGCGAAGCGTTAAGCGGCCGTCCGCGGGGAAGGGGCGCGGCTCGGTGGCCACAGGATCCTGGGGACAGGGGCGGGTACTCAGGACCCTCGGACCTGAGAGCAGCCCCGCCCCTCAGCCCCCATCCCACCCCGCCTGCGGACCTCAGCCGCACGCATGCGCCGGAACTGCTCTGGCGAGGGGAAGACGGGCCGGCCCAGGCGCTGCCACTCGCTGTGGGGACTGCAAAGCCGGTTGTCCAGGTAGAGGGTGACATACACGAGCCCTGCGGAGCGAACAATGGAGCCACGCCTCCCGGCTCGTCCCCTCCAGACACACATCTGTGCTGAGACCAGCCCTCCCTCGCCCCTCCCTGGGACCCCTCGCTCACCCAGGCTCTGGGGCACCCCATGCAGGCGCAGGGTCAAGGCGACGCTGCGGTTGCGGTGGGCGCGGGTGTCATCGCTCGCGTAGACCAGAACCGTGGCGCGCCAGGCGTCGGCGGAGCCATTCGGGCGGTGGACGCTGGCCAGGACGCCCACAGTGTGGTTGGTGTCCAGCACCACCCCGGCCTGCGACACCTCGGCCCAGAGCTGCTCGCCGTCTGCGGCGCATGGGGCAGTGGTCACCACACGGAGGCTGCCACCCCTCTCCTCTCCCGGGCCTGGCTTCTCACCCTTTGCTCCCCTCCACTGGAGTCCCCCACTAGGAGGTCAGTCACTCCACCACCTCGATGGCCCACCTAGAAGGACACATCTCTCTGCTCCCCGGTCTCCTGGGGCCTGGAACGGCAGGCCCGCCCAAGCAGGCAGCACCCAGGGTGTCGCTGGCCCCGTGCTTCCAGCCCCAGAAGCGGACGCCCAGCGGCAGCTCACCCAGCAGGGCCAGCAGGCCCATGGCCGTGAGCACCGGCTTGCGCAGCAGCTGCACGTGCGGCGGGCGCGTGTTGTTGACCTGGAAGCGAGCGGTGAGCGTGCGCTGGGAGAAGGGGTGCGGGTGGTAACTCAGGAAGGCGTTGTCATTGCTCAGGAGCGCGAATCGGACGGAGGAGCTGCTGTTGGCCACCAGCAGGTTCTGGTGCTGCGCGATGACCTGCGGGCATCCAGCAGCTGGGACCTTGGCCTCCAGGCCACCCGTCTCACCGTTCCACTGCAGAGGGACGAGGCCCCCGGGGGGGGGGGTGCCCACCTTCACAACCATGGCCGCGTAGGTCACCTCAGCCCTCCACGGCTGTGGCAGGGACCAGCCCACCAGCGGGTCTGCCTCGTCGTTGTAAATGGGGGTCTCCGCGAACCTGGGGAAGAGCTGCTGTATCTGCTGCACGACCTCCTTCTCCTGCTCCAGGATGTTGATGGAACTGCCGGCGCCCTGCGGTCAGCAGCCGGCCTCAGCATGGCGGTCAGCCCGAGACTGCCCCGAGGGCCCGCGGTGGTCCAGGCCATACCTTCTTGTGCAGGGCGATGTAGTCCAGCCGCACGCCCACCTCCCCGGTGAAGAAGTTGGTGCCGTGGTGACAGTGCCCCAGGAGGCCCCAGCACAGCGGAGAGCGCGGGGGCGGGTGGAAGGCGTCCCCGGGGCCGCCCAGGCGCAGGGCGGGGCTGGCCGCGCGCAGCCCCTCGGAGCAGGCATCGTAGTAGTTGAAGAAGCCTGGAGGAAGGATCAGGGAGTCCACCTCCTCCTCCCACGTGAGGGGCCCCGCCCCCTCAGCGCCGCAGGGCCCAGGAGGCCCCGCCCACCTTGCATAGTCATGGACACGTTGTCAAAGTCGTGGTGGTCCGGCTCATTCCACGTCTCGAAGTTCCACTTGGAAACGTGCGCCAGCCCATACCGACCTGCAGAATGTCCCTGCTGTCGACTGTCCCTCTGGGGCAGGGGAATGCCCATCCGGACTCCCACTAGGGGTGCCCGTGGTTTGGGGTTTGGATGTCGGGGCTGTCTGATTCATGCGAGTCTACTCTCGCCTCGCCAGCCCTGGCCTCCCTCCCTATCAAGTTCTTGACGGAGAAGATTGGTGAGGAGGCTGGGGGGGGGGGGGTGAGAGGACAACCAACCCCAGAGTACCCACACCTGTCCCCTCAGGCACCTCCCTCCTCGCCCACCAATGTATCTCCTGGCCAGGAGGGAGACCAGGTCCTTCCACTCAAACACCTGTCGTTTGTCTTCAAAGTCGGTGAAGTGTCCAGAGGGGCTGCCCATCAGCTCAAAGCCTGCAACACAGGAGGGTGGCTATCCCACTGCCCACCCACCCACGCAATCCCCACGCTTCCCCATGCCTGGGCCCCACCATGCCGGCACCAAGGCCAACCCTGGCTGAGCAACCAGTGAGGACCCAGAGGGGCCAGGTCATGAGGAAGGCACCTGGTGGGCAGAGGTCAGGGTCGGCCACTTACCTGGGAAGAGCTGGTTCTCCCTGAGAAGGTCCAGGTACCCATCCAGATGGGTGAAGTTGTAGCTCAGGCCCTGTCCAGCTGACCTCCTATAGAAGGACATGAAAATGTCAGGGCAGAGATGGCCCTGGGCTGGAACCAAGGCCTTCAAGCAGGTAGAAAATCCACAAGGTGCTACACAGGAATCAGCTTCAGACACATGGGCCCCTCCCCTAGGAAAAACCAGCTACGGTAGCCTATCATTCACAGCCTAGTATGAACTAGTGCCTGTCCTGGGACCCCCACTCCAAAGCTGTCAGGGGCTCTGAACAGCTCGGAGGTCAGAGGTGGGGCAGGCAGGTAGTTGTCTGGGAGAGATGCAACAGGGTGGAGGAGGGGAAAAAAGGTGTCCTGCAGACAGCTGGCCCGGAGCAGGGCCTGGTGGGAAAGAGCCTGAAGGGACCTGCTTCTCTGTGCCCCCTGGCGGCCAGGGCCCCGCCCTCCCCCCCACACTCCAAGAGGCGACGTGGACAGACAGGAAAGGGAGAAGGCGCCATTACACAACTCAGATGTCCTGGGAACGGGGTGTGACGGGGGGCAAAGGGTCAGGCACGGAGGGCATCTCCGAGGTAGCATCAGGATCCCCCAGTGATGGGCCCACCCAGCAGTGAGAGTGCCCGGGGGGTAGAGGAGGCAACATGTGCAGAGGTCCTGGGGCAGACATGAACTCACGGTAACTGAGTGGCAGAGAGGTCGCTAGGAGACCTAGGACAGAATGAGGATGTGACTGTGAGGTGAGGGCCTTGTGACCAATGAGGAGGGTCCCCAACCAGGGTGGAGTGGGGAGCCCTACCAAAGATGCGAGCAGTGCCATGATTTTGGGGGGCTTGCTGGTTTTAAGACAGTATTTTTTACAGCAGTTTAGGGTTTACAGCAACAGAGAGGGAGGTACAGAGGTTTCCCATCCCCGCCCTGCACACCTACACAGCCTTGCCATGATCAACCCCCCACCAGAGTGGGCACTGTGACGATGGGTGAAACTGCATTGACACAGCCCTGTTGCCCAGAGACCAGGGTGCACATCCAGGTCATTGTGTGCATTCTGTGGGCTTGGAAAGGTGTGTAATGACACGTATCCACCGTTGTCGTGTTGTACAGTGATCCTCACCTGTTCACCCCTCCCTCCACCCAAACCCTGACAAGCACATTCTGTTACTGTCCTCAGTCTTGCCTTTGCCTGTGATGTCTGGAAAGGATCCCTCTGGTGGCTAATTGGAGTCAAAGATGGTTCCCCAGGGGGAGGTGTGGTGTCCAGACAAGGAGGGGCTGAGCAGGGGGGGGTGGATAGCGTCTGCTGATACATCCAGGTGAGTGGGGGTGCGGTGGGGTTGGGGCGGGGTGCAGCATAGCCCTCCGATTTTGGCTTGAGCAGCTTTACAGGGAGGGGTGCATGGCGGAGGCAGGCAGGGATAAGCCAGCAGTAGCATGGGTCTTGGATTTGCCCAGGTCGAAGTGGACCTCTGACCCTGGGGCTTGGAAGAAAGCTGGTGGTCCTGGTCAGGCCCCTGCGAGGCGGTGGGGTAGGTAAGCAGGTGGCCCAGGTCAGGTGCTGCCTCGTGAGGAGCCAGGCAGGTGGATTGGCAGGGGTTCTGAGGCCTCCCTTGAGGACATGCCTGGTCCACCACAGATCTGAGGGATGAAGGTGGGAAAAGCAAGAGGCCTGCACTGTGACAGTGGGGGAGAGGAAGGGGGTCACCATGGATCAGGCCCTGAACAGCCTTTGTCCATCCGTCCATCCCACTCCACAGCCTGAACTCTGTTCCCTGAACACAGCAAGGATCTGGACAGTTCAATCTCCCTCCTCCAGGTCCTTCTCTCCCCCGCCGAGGCAGAGCATGGGCCTGGCCTTGGAGTTCACCGGCGGTGCACAGCAGCCTCCTGCTCCTCCCAGCTGCTTGCCCTCACTGGCCCCTCTGTGCCGGGGCAGTCCCCAGCAGGACAGACATGAGCACAGCGAGGGTCTCCCTTCCCCCAACCTTCCCTCCCATCCAAAGGTCACAACCGGTAGCAAAAAAAAAAAAAAACTTAACAAACACTTGGGTAAAAATTAAATGTGCACAGTAGATGGGTTCCAAAGTCCCACTGGTGTGTGTTGGGGGAGGGGCAGGCCCAAGCAGTGGTGACCAAGGGTGAAGTGAAAGCACAGAGTGCCCTCCAGGTGCCTGGGCACGAGGCCCACGGGCCACACAGTGCCTGGCACACAGCAAGCCTTTGTAAATGCTAGTCCCCGCTCCGTCCTGAGCCAGCAGGGTACCTCGGGGGAGCCCCGCGGCAGAGGTGTCCCCAGCCTGTCCCTCTGGGTGAACTTGAATGCCTGCTGGACCAGCCAGCCTTGGCAGCCACGTATGCCCTGGGGGTCAGTACAACCTGCCCTCAGGGGCCAGGAAACCCAAAGGTGGGAGCTAGAAACCCTGGGGCAGTCCTTGGGCTCCACAGTAGGTGCCTCTGCCCCTTGGGAGGGGAAATGGTGTCCTATATTCAGGGGTGCAGCGCGCAGCCCATCCCAGCACTCCCCCTGCAGAGAGGCCTGGCACAGACCAGACCTGGCCACCCATCGACCCCCAGGGCCCCTCTATCCTGCCGCCCTGCACCGGGCTGAACCTGAGCGCGAGGCACTAGCGGAGCCGCCTCCTTGCACGTGGGCCTGGGAGGCGACTGCTGCACAACGGTCTCATTCACCGCGCGCCGCCGGCCAGTCGGTGGCACCAGAGACCCCCACCCCTGGGCCTGAGCGCCTGCACCGCGAGGACCGAGCTGCGCCCGGGCCTGGTGAGTGCCCAGGTGCGCGGAGCAGGGATCCGGGCGCAACTGCATGGGGGGGGCGGGGCGGGGCGGGCGGGCACCAAGCCATGCGCGCTCGTGCTCGGCAGTGGGGGCCCGAAGAAGTTGGGCGCGCGCGCGGGAGGGTGCGCAGGGCGGGCGGTGGGGTGGGGAGTGGGCGGAGTGGAGACCCAGGCCGCTTGCTCCGGAGCAAGGGGATGGTGGGGAGGAGGTGCGTGGTGGCGGGGACCCGGGCCGCGGGTGCTGGCAGGTGGGTGTGGGGGAGGGATAAGCGCGGTCTGCGGTCCCCGGATGGGGGTGGGAGAATGTCCGGGCCCAGGCAGGCCGGCGGTGGCCTGGCAGGCGAGTCTGCCTGGCCTGGGCCTTCTCTTGGGGAAAACGGGAGTGCACCCCCGGCCTTTCGGGAGAAACTCGGGTCTGGTCCTCAGGGCCCTGGAGACTAAACGGGCGCTTCTTTTCACTTGTAAAGATACAATATTTCCTTTCCAAATAAATGCACTTAACAATTTTAACCCGCGACTTAAAAATATCAAGGAAATAGCTATGTGGGTGTGGCAGGGAAGGGGCAGGTGCTGAGGGTGGTTCAGCCGGTGGAAGGCGCTGGATCCCTCAGCCCCTGCCTGCAGCCCGTAGGGCAGGGGCAGAGGGAGCCTGGGAATCCTCCCCCGGAACCCAGCCACCTGCCCAGGAGCCTGGCCAGACCACAGGATGGTCACAGCCTTGATGAGACAGAGGAGCAGGCAGAGGACAGGTGTCTGTGGGTGTGAGCCTGTTGCCCAGGAGTCCTGCTACTCTCTGAAAGGGCAGATGTGACCTCACCTGCATTTCTCCACCTGATTGACACCCAGCCTGGGTAGGAACTGGGGGAACATCAGGCCTAGTCCATGCTACCAAAGACAGCCAAGGCCAGGCCCCCAGGGCAGCTGGCAAGACCCAACGCTGGGGGCACTGAGAACAGCCTCCCTGAAATATCTCCACCTGCTGAGAACCCCACCAGGTGCTGCAAACCCAGCCAGCCTCTGGAATCCTGCCCCCTTCTGGAGAGGGGAGGGCCTACCTCCCACCTCCTTTCCCCAAGTAACCACCCGTCCTGTCCCAGCACTGCCCACCTCCAGTGCACCCAGGAGCCCTCCTTGCTCAGCCCCACCTGGCAGCCCCCACCTCTGCTCACGGTGCCCCCAGGGAGTCTCCTCACTGCCAGGAGGTAATGACCCCTCAGTAGCTGCCCTGCCCTCCCCACCCACCCCACCCCCCTGAAGTGCACCTTATCTGCCCGAAGTTGGGGCCTGAGGCCCTGAACTTGACTCATTCCACCCAGACCTCCGGTCAGTAAACCACAGCTCCTGGTCTTGGCAAACAGCTCCCCCCCAGGGCTGAGTGGGTCCCAGGCCAGGCTTGTGGGTGCAGGGAGGCCCTGGCTCTGCCCCACCAGCCCCAACACAGACTCTTCAAGGGCAAGGAATCAGACCTGGAGATAGAGTGCCCTTCACCTTCGCAGTGAGGGAGCTCACCCTCAGGGAGGTGAGGGCACCCTCCCGTTCTCTGGCCAGCCCCAGCCCCGCTCCCATCTTTGCCCCCAACTGGGGCTCCTGGTCTCCCCGGCCAGGCCCAGGGATTCGAGGCCAGGGCAGGGCTTGTAGGCAGGCTTCCCGAGGTCCCAAAATGGGACCGAGTGTGGAGGGGCCTGTGTGGGAGCCCTCAACCTTGCACTGTCCCGTCCCTGGAGAATGGAGATCTGCAGGACGGTTGGCCACTGATCTTAATCCCCCCTCAGAGGCCAGCAGCTCCTGTAGGGAGAAGCAGGGCCCGGCCAGGGCCGGGGCTTCCGGGGCCAGCAGCCCAGGCCAGCGCAGCCCGCCAGCCACCAAAGGGACCACCACCTCCAGGAAGGGGGAGCACGTGGGGCCTCGGCACCCCATGGAATGGACCCCTTCTCACCCACTTCTTTATTTAAAAAATGGGGGCCTGAGGTCCTGAATAATCACTGTAAAAACAGCCCTTAGTTTTATCATGTGGGGCACAGGGGGGCCATGTCACTCCTCGTTTACCCCATGTCGGTCCTGTGAGAAGTCCTTCCCCCACGGGGCGAGAATGTGAGTGCAGGGGGCCAGGTGCCTGCCCCTCACACAGGGTTGGTGCAAGCTGAAATCTGGGTGGTTGGGCTCAGGGGACAGACCTGGCATCCACGCCCCATAGCAAGATGGGCACACCTGGCTAGTAACAGAATCTCAGTGCCCAGCAACCCTCCTGCCCTCGGCAATACACACGCGCGTGTGCACACACACACACACCCTCCTTTCCACACAAGGACACTGAACAGAGGCCCTAGAACTCAAGCACCCTGACTCTGCCGGGCCCACCCTCAGCGGCAGCCCTGGCCTGGGAGGCTGGCAGCTTATCAGAGGCCACACAATGTAATTATCCGTGAGTCTCTAATCACGGCACAGTTCTGCAGACTGGCGGCTCAGGTAACCCTCCCCGGGAAGCACGTGACTCAGCAGTCTTTCGGTAAATCATTTAACTGGCAGCCCAGCCCAGCAAGCCCAGCAGTCAGAGGCCAACTGCAAAGCAGGGCCTGCAGGTCAGGCTCGGGGGTCCCGCCAGGCAGCGGACCCTGGCCTGAGAGGACCCCTCACTACCCACCGAGCCAGTGAAGGTCTCCCTCAGGTAAGAGTCATTCCGGAGCCTGTGCAGGGCAGTGAGGCTCTGGGGGCTTTGGCCACAGCAGAGGCCGGCTCTCTGGGGAGAGGACCAGGCCATCTTCTTTCGGGGACCCTCAGGCATCAGGCAGGTGGCATATAAACCGCCCTGGGCCCCGGGGGCCCCTGTGAGGTAAGGCCTTCAGAGGAAGGAAACAGTTTTCATCCATCCCCTCAAGGGAAGAGCCACAAGTCCACAGGGACTGTGCCACCTGCCACACCTCCCACCCGGCTGGCACCCCCTCCCCCCACGCCAGGCAAATCCAGGCCTGGTCCTGGACTGGCTCTCAGAGCTCTCAGTACAGGCAGTGGAGTGACCAGGCCTGATGTGACCACGCCGGCAGCTTCAAGAGCTCAAGTGTGAGCTGAGGTCAGCACAGCTGCCAGGCGTGTTGCGGGGTGCCACACTGAATGCGGAGTGCGGGCCGGGCTGTGGGGCACCGTGCTCTGAGTGCTGAATGCGGAGTGCGGGCCGGGCCGCGGGGCACCGCGCTCCGAGTGCGGAGGCCGCCAGGCTGGATGGCAGGCACGGTCCAGCTCGCGTGTTGCAGGTGCGCCTGGGTGAGGAGGCAAAGCCCAGGAGAGCTGCCTCGCACTGGAAAGGGTGCCCTGCGGTGGGAACACACTGCTGGCCCTGCAGAAGCCATTCTTCCAAAGCAAGTGCCAGAAGTCACAAGGGCCAGGCGGGTGGCAAGTGCTGCTGTGTGAGCCCCCTTCCCTGGCGTCTGCAAGATCTTCCTCTGGCCTCTATGCCCCCAGCGCCCGCAGTGCAGAAGGGACCTCAGTGGTCTGGAAGGGGGCATGGGGTGAGGGCAGGACCTACGCCTGGACAGGGAGGTGGGGGGCTGCAGCAGAGTTTGGGTCTGGCTTCTGTGACGAACGTCTCAGTGCCCCAGTGTTGATGCCCACTTTTCCATGGCAGGTTTTCCCGAGGGGCCTGGCACCCCAAGATGGAAGAGTTCCCTGAGCAGCAGGGGGGAGGGCCGGTGCTGGTCCGCCGGGGGCCCCCGGAGCCCCCAGGCCTGCATAAGACGCTGAAGTCCCGGCTACAGGGGAGCTGTGTGTGCAGCGTGCAGAGGGCCCGGGGGCTGCTCCTGGACCTGTTCCCCGTCACCCGCTGGCTGTGCCGGTACAGCCTGCGGGAGGACCTGGCGGGCGATGTCATGTCCGGGCTGGTCATCGGCATCATCCTGGTGCCCCAGGCCATTGCCTACTCGCTGCTGGCTGGGCTGCAGCCCATCTACAGTCTCTACACATCCTTCTTTGCGAACCTCATCTACTTCCTCATGGGCACCTCCCGTCATGTCTCCGTGGGCATCTTCAGCCTGCTCTGCCTCATGGTGGGGCAGGTGGTGGACCGTGAGCTCCTGCTGGCTGGCTTCGACCCTGCCCAGGACGGCCCGGGGCCCGGGGACAACAGCAGCACCCTCAATGCTTCCGTCACCACGCTGGCGCTTGGGCTGCAGGACTGTGGGCGTGACTGCTACGCCATCCGTGTGGCCACCGCTCTCACGCTGGTGACCGGGATTTACCAGGTGAGGAGCCGCCCTGTGGGAGGTCCCGCCGAGCTGCTGGGGGCAGCCCCCTGAGGTGCTCTCTGCTTACCCAGAAGGGCCAAGCCCCGGGAAGCACAGGACAAAGCAAGGCACAGGCAGAGGTGGGCCTGAGATGGCACCCCAGGGCAGAGTGCTTGAGGGGCTGAGAGGGCCCGAGAGGGCCCAGGGCCCCAGGAGCCCGTCCAGCCAGCTGCAGCCTGGGCAGGGATAGGTGGCTGCAGTGTGGGCTCAGCTGCAGACAGGCTTCCTGTCCCAGGTGGGACCCCGGGGAGCTGCTTGCCTTTAGGTGGCCTCCCCTGTACCAGGCCTGCCCACTCCAACCCCGTGCCGCCCGGCCACTGGCTCGGGGTCTCTCCAGAGGGGCAATGCCACTCACGGGGTAGGAGAAGGAGCTGCCTCCAGGGCTGGCCAGGCTCTGGCTGCGGCCACCCTCCTCAGCAGCGACGGACAGCCTGCTGCCCTCACAACACTCTGCCCACAGGTCCTCATGGGCGTCCTCCGACTGGGCTTCATGTCCGCCTACCTCTCGCAGCCGTTGCTTGACGGTTTCGCCATGGGGGCCTCGGTGACCATCCTGACTTCCCAACTGAAGCACCTGCTGGGCGTGCGGGTCCCCCGGCATCAGGGGCTGGGCATGGTGGTCAGCACGTGGCTGAGCCTGCTGCGCAGCGCCGGACAGGCCAACCTGTGTGACGTGCTCACCAGCACCGTGTGCCTGGCTGTGCTGCTGGCCTCCAAGGAGCTCTCGGACCGCTGCCGGCACCGCCTGAAGGTGCCACTACCCACGGAGCTGCTGGTCATCGTGGTGGCCACGCTCGTGTCCCACCTCGCGCAGTTCCACGCTCGCTTTGGCTCCAGCGTGGCCGGCGACATCCCCACTGGCTTCGTGGCCCCCCAGGTGCCGGACCCGGGGCTGATGTGGCGCGTGGCCCTGGATGCCGTGCCCCTGGCCCTCGTGGGTTCCGCCTTCTCCGTCTCGCTGGCAGAGATGTTTGCCCGCAGCCACGGCTACCGCGTGCGTGCCGACCAGGAGCTGCTGGCCGTGGGCTGCTGCAACGTGCTGCCCGCCTTTTTCCACTGCTTTGCCACCAGTGCCGCCCTGGCCAAGAGCCTGGTGAAGACGGCCACCGGCTGCCGCACACAACTGTCCAGCGTGGTCAGTGCCACCGTGGTGCTGCTGGTGCTGCTGGCCCTGGCCCCACTGTTCCGGGACCTGCAGCGGAGCGTTCTGGCCTGCGTCATCGTTGTCAGCCTGCGGGGGACCCTGCGCAAGGTGAAGGACGTCCCGCAGCTGTGGCGGCTCAGCCGGGCCGACGCGCTGGTCTGGGTGGCCACAGCGGCCAACTGCGTGCTGGTCAGCACCGAGGCCGGGCTGCTGGTGGGCCTGCTCTTCTCGCTGCTCAGCCTGGCTGGCCGCACACAGCGCCCACATGCTGCCCTGCTTGCCCGCATCGGGGGCTCCGGCTTCTACGAGGACGCCACAGAGTTCGAGGGCCTGGTTCCCGAGCCGGGGGTGCAGGTGTTCCGCTTCGCAGGGCCACTCTACTACGCCAACAAGGACTTCTTCCTGAGATCCCTCTACAGCCTCACGGGGCTGGACGCGGGGCATGTGGCCGCCAGGAGGAAGGAGCGGGGCCTGGAGGCCAGGGCCAGCGAGGGAGAGCCCGCTGAGGACCAGGACCGGGACCCAACGAGCAGTGGGGCTGCTCTGGTGCCCACGGCGGCTGGCTTCCACACAGTGGTCATTGACTGCGCCCCACTGCTGTTCGTGGACGCAGCCGGCCTGGCCACACTGCGGGATCTGCGCAGAGACTACGGGGCCCTGGGCATCACCCTGCTCTTGGCCTGCTGCAGCCCCTCAGTGAGAGACGCCCTGAGGAGAGGGGGCTTCCTTGGGGGGGACCAAGGGGACCAGGGAGAGGAGGGGCAGCTGTTCCACAGCGTGTACAGCGCTGTGCAGGCGGCCCGAGCCCACTACAGGGAGCAAGCGCCCGCCAACTCCTCGCTCTAGGAGAGGCAGCACCTGCCCCGATGCCACTCCCTGCCAGCGCCCACGAGGACACCTTCACAGCACCATCCTCACACCACCGATCACCCACACGGTTCCTCCCACGGACACGTGGGCCACGTCCTCCGGGAAGGACAGGGAGCAGCGGTGCGAAGCTGGACCCAGTGCTGTGCGTCTGCGGGGCCGCGGGGCCAGTTGGACACTCACTGTTACTGCTTCCTCTGAACAAAGGCCCCAGGACAATCATGTGGCCTGCAAGATGCCGAAAGGACACTGTTCCCTTGACCCTCATGGCCCCCACCGTGGCCACCAGGTGAGAGCTGGCAGCTCTGGCCAGGGGCATGAGGGTCGCTGTGTCTCTGGAAGCCCCCCAACACACACACCCAAGTGTTCCTTACACCTCGTGCTTAGGCCTGGCTCCTCAGGCGCGGGGCCCCTGCACAGCCCGACTCAAATACACACACGAACACCCAGCCTGGGCGTGTGCGGGAACACTTGCTGGGGCTGGGTCCGGCCACAGATCCAGGGCAGTGGAACACCAGCTCTACCCTGAGCTTCCAGGGTGACCTCCAGTAGGAAGCCAGCTGTGTCCGGTCCAGGAGCTGCCCTACACCCATGGCCCCTGTGAGCCAGGGAGGACATCCCTCCCCGCCCCCACAGGATACTTTGCTAGGAAGTGTAGGGCGATGGCTCCTCAGAGCGGGGTTCCCCTCCCCCGGTGCCCCCACCACCGCCCACACTGCACTGTCCTCCACAATGGACACAGCCTCAGTCTTCACCTCCGTAAAGTGGGTTCTGCCCTGCTACTCCCAGGCTGCTTACCCTCCATCACCCACCTGGCCGTGACGAGGTCCAGCAGCCAGTGGGTCCGGACCTGCTCGATGCCACCATGAGGGACAGCACCCACATAGGCCAGGTTGAGCTGCTGGTCCCAGCTGAGGTCATACTGGTCAGCCCGACTGTGTGGCAGTGGGGGGCTGGGGACAGAACAAGAGTGTGAGGGCATTAGTCTCTGTGAGTGGGGCCCACAGACCAGACTCATCAAACATCGAACACCCCACACCCACAAAGCCAGGGCCTGGGGCGGCCTGGACCACTGGGTTCCAGCAGACCGACTGGGGTCTGCAAGCGAATTATACTGTCCTTGATGTAATGCAATGACCTCTAACACCAGGAATATGAAGTCTCATGTTCGGGGGGCCAGGAGCTCCCAGAGGAGACAGGACCACATCCCCACCCTGCTCCTTGCCCCACCAGCTGCGGATCTGAGCTGGACACAGGGATGGGAGACAGGCCCACTACGGGGGTGTCCTCGTTCCTGGGGCTCCCCCTGGGAAGGCTCTGGTCTGCAGAGAAGCGTCCTGTCCTGCCTCGCCTCACCGGGCTCTGCCACTAGGTAAGCTCAGACAACAGGGGGTCCCCACTCAACCAGAACCCCCCCAAACACATGGAGCCTGGGACCAAGAGGACACCCTCACTCTGACTGAGGGTGGACCCCAGAGAAAGGGCTGGGACGGCTCGGGAGGCCTTCCTCACTCCCGACGGTTCTCCTCACGCTCCACCAGCGGGTCCCATAGGCCTGGGGCGGGGCACGGCCCCGGCTTAAGAGGAGCGCGCGGCGGAGCGGAGGCAGACGGGCCGCTGAGCCTCCGCTGCCCGCTGCGCGGCGCTCACCAGAAGCCAGTGCTCCTCCAGAAGGGCCGCAGCGGCCGCAGCGCGCGGGCCGCGTCCACGCGCACCAGGAACGGGGCCTCGGCCAGGGCCGCCGGGGACGCGGCCAGCAGCGCGGCCAGGAGCGCGAGCAGCACCACTCCGGGCCCCGGGGGGCGCACGGCCGGGGCGCGCATGGCTGGGGCGGCGCGGGGCACCCCCGGCCACTGCAGGCCCGCGGGGTCCTCTGCGCTCCCGGAGCCGAGGTCTGCGCCACGCCGGTCGGTTCCGCCTCCGGGTCGCGCGCCACATGACCGCCGCCGAGGGGCGGACCCTTGGAACCTGGGCCTGTCGGGGCTGGGGCGGGGCTTAAGTGGGCCGGGTTGGGGGTGTGAGCGGTGGGCGTGGACAGTGCGGGGCGTGGGCGGGCCCGGGGCGGGGCTTAGGTGGGCGGGTGAGTGGCGAGGCCGGGCAGGCTGGTTAGGGTCCCTCCCCGCTCCAGCTGCGGGGGAAGTGGACCGCTGTTCCTCCTGGGAAGTTCCTTCCGGCGCCCCCTCCCGCGTCGACCCGGATGACAGTCCTGTGCCGCGGGCTATGCGCGGGGACCCGCCTTAGAAGCCTGGAGGGTGCGCCGCTGTTCTGTGGATGCGCCAGAAGGGGCCCTGGAGGCCAGGAGGTGCCTAATAGGGGCTCCAGAGGCTGCTTGCTGGGGAGAGGTGGTCACCCGTGGGTCACTAGGCCCAGCCGATGGATTGGAGGTGTGGGAAGAAGGGCAGGCTCTGCCCTAGCCAGTTTGGCTCAGCAGTTACAATGTTGGCCTGCAGAATGGAGGGTATCGGGTTCGATTCCCCGTCAGGGGCACCTACCTGGATTGCGGGTTTGATCCCTGGCCCTGGTCAGCTCTGGTGGACCCTGGTCAGGGTCCTGCGGGAGGCAGCCGATCTGTGTGTCTTCTCACATCCATGTTTCTCTCTCCCTCCCTCCCTTAGGCTCTTTCTAGAAATCAGTAGGAAATATCCTCTGGTGAGGATTAAAAAAGAAAAGCGCAGAGTCAAAGGTGACCCCCAGGGCTTGGGGGGGCATTTTCTGAAAACGGGGCTGTTGCAAACACATAGGTATGGTCGAGAACAAGCTGCCTCTGAGAAACTAGGTGACATTTCTCGTAGATGGTGGGGTGGCCTGACCGGGTGTGAGAGGGTCACAGTGTGAATTTTTACACTTTATTTTATCCTCACCCGAGGACATTTTTCCATTTTTTGTTCAGATAGAGTGGGGGGGGGGGAGGGAGAGAGAGAGAGAAACATCCACGTGAAAGGGACACATCGAGTGGCTGCCACCCGCACGACCAACCAGGGCCGGGGACAAACTGCAACCGGGGTACGTGTCCTTAGCAGGAACCGAACCCAGGTCTCTCTGGACCGCAGGCCGACGCTCTAACCACTGAGCCGAACCGGCCAGGGCTACACTTTATTCCTTTAAAATTCTCACCGGAGGATATTTGTTTCCCCATTTATCTTCAGATAGAGTGGGAGGAAGACAGAACAAGAGAGAAGCAATTGGTTGCCTCCCACACATTCCCGACCAGGACTGAACCGGCATCAAAACGGCAACTCTTTGGTCCATGGGCTGGTGCTCTAACTGCTGAGCCAAACCGGCCACGGAGGATCTGTACACTTTAAACTGCATATCGGCTGAGTAAGTCATACAGCCTCACACCACTCATCCCACGCTCCTGCGCGGCCCATCAGACCCATTGCCCCACCCTGCAGCCAGCCTCGGTCCCGGTCTCTAAGTTGCTGATAACTTTCTAAAAGTGATGAGATGTCAGCTGCAGAACCAGCAATGCTGTGAGGCCCGGGATGGTGAAGCTGGGTGGAAGCCACAGCAGGGGCACCTACACCCTCCGGCCACACAGGAAAACCGCAGCGTCCTGAGAGTAGATGGCTGCAAACCTGGAATTCTAAATCCAGCCAAAAATACGCTTCAAAAATGAGGGTCCAATAGACATTTCAGAGAAACAAACTCCGAGAACGCTGGTCATGAAGGAGACGGTGAACAGTGTCCTTCTGGGAGGAGACTGATCACAGCAGACCAGGGACAGGAGGGAAGGGGACAAAAGAGAAAGTCTAGTGAGGAGTGACTTGGAGAACGATAATAATATTGTGCGGGGCTGACGCTATATCCAGGGGATTAAAACGTGTGATAACGATGTGGAAGCTGGGAGGGAGTGTGCGGCATGTGACCTGCCAGCCCCGACCAGGGCTGTGAGTGTGACCTTACTTGGTGAGGAGATTTTGCAGTTGGGCTTAAGTTAAGGATCTTCAGATGGGGAGATTATCTTGGATCATCCAAATGGGCTCTAAACATCATCCTCTGTGAGGAGGCGGCAGAGGGAGAGGGACATTGGAGGTACAGTCGTCCCTCGCCACTTCGCGATAGAGTGAAGCCGTGGAAATCCAAGAGCAAAGTGGCGAGGGACGACTGTGTATAAATACCGAATCCTTCGCAGGAAATTCATTTATCGCGGTACAGTCTGAAACTGATGAACTGCCATAAACCAGGGCCGACTGCAGAAGAGGCCAGGCCTTAGAAAAGAGATTCGGCCCTGGCCAGTTTGGCTCAGCGGTTAGAGCGTCGGCCTGCGGTCTGGAGAGACCCGGGTTCGGTTCCCGCTAAGGGCACGTACTTCGGTTGCAGTTTGTCCCCGGCCCTGGTTGGTTGTGCAGGTGGCAGCCACTCGATGTGTCCCTTTCACATCGATGTTTCTCTCTCTCTCTCCCTTCCTCTCTCTCCCTCCCACTCTACCTGAACAAAAAATGGAAAAATGTCCTCGGGTGAGGATAAAAAAAAAAAAAAAAAGAAAAGAGATTTGAAGGGTGTTCTGAAATTGGTACTCAGTGTTTGTCTTCATCAGTGTGGGGAGACAGCAGCACAGAATGATTGTTGTGAAGGGAGACGCTCACACCCACAGACCCCTGGAAAGGAGGCAGGGCCACACGGCGGGGGTGGGGGCATTGTTGCAGGTCATTTCTGTCTCTGGCTGAGTAGAAGAGAAGGAGGCAGGCGGGGGCCTTCGACTGGGCAGCACTCTCCTGGGCATGGCCCCTGTCCACAGTAGCATCAGTCTCTCCCCTTCTTCTCTTAAACAAAGTCTGGCTTGTATCTCCAGACAGGTAAAAACATTTCCCTTCCTCCCCTCCCCCGTCTCTCTGCCCCTGACTATTTAACATATGTGTATTCGTTTATTTTCTGTATTCCTGACTCTCAGCACCCTGGCTCTGGAAAGACGGTGCCCCGCCCTCCCCCCCCCCCACACACACACAGCAGTCCCTGGAGACTCCCCTGTGACAGCCTTCGATTACAAATTAATCTGTCCAGAGCCCACCCCCACCAGCTCCTCACCTCACCCTCAGATGACAAGCCAGGTCCTAGACAACTAGGGACTGCCCTCCCCACAGCCCAGGCTGCTGAAGGCATTCACACGACCCCATCCTAACTCCCTCCCCCTCTCCCTCTGTGAAGGCCCCATCGAGACGCTGGGCCAAGCTCTCTTGGCTCCTGTGTCTGCTTCCTGGCACAAACTGGTGCCCCCCATGTGGCCCTGCCGGCCCGGTGCACCCCTTCTCCTGGGAAATGTTGTTCCTTCAAAGGTGAGTGTCTTGCTCAGCTGGGGTGGCTCAGTGGCTGAGCGTGGACCCCACACAAAGACGTCGCTGGTTCGATTCCCGGTCAGGGCACATGCCCAGCTTGTGGGCCCGATCCCCAGTGGGGGGCCTGCAGAAGGCGGCCAGTGTTCTCTCTCATCGATGTTTCTCTCTCTCCCTTCCTCTCTTTCTAAAAATCAATAAAGAAAAAAAAAAGAATAAATAAAGGTGAGTGTCTTGGTTTCTGTCATCTCACCACATCTGATTAGAACAAACCCCATACAGGTTTTAGAACACACCTGTGTGCTGCTGCTGAGATGGAGGGAGGCCATCCACTCTGAATGCAAGGAGCTGGACAAGGCCCCCAGCTGGCCTCAGGGGCACTTGGTCCTCCCCACCTGAAAAGCACATATAGGGCATATGCTATCCTAGACCTGGCCCACAAAGGCTGGGCACCTGGGGACACAGCAAGCCCACAGTGGCATGGATTCACAAAGGGCTGTGTGGTTTTGTAACATTTGCTAAACTAAGATAATGTGACCCTGGAGGTCACCACACTGTCTCAGGTTCCCTCTGTCACATTTCCCCTCATGTTGGGGTAGTGCTGGAGAGGGGAGGAAGTCGAGTTGTGGGAACACTGGCTGGGTTGGCCCTTGCGTTTCTCTCACTCACAGTCACTTGTCTGCAGGGTGAGGTTGATGCCAGACATCCTGGTGCGGAAACACCATCCAGGAACATCCTTGGCAATGAACCAGGAGGGCGACTCACACAAACTGCTGGGAAGGAATTAAACATGCTGCCGACTTGACATGATGTGCTGACAGGGGCCAGATAAGTTGGAACCTCACAGCAATGTGACCAGGCCATCAGACCAGTAGGGCATCTGAGACTAATCACAGCCCTGGAAAGTGCATTTTCCAGTGGGCAGATGAAAGAAACTTCACAAAGTTCTCTGCAGACTTGGCAGCAGCCTTGACGACGCAGGTGATACAGCCAGTGACGAGCTGTCCGGAGGGAGCATTTGTGAGCTGGAGCCTTGATTTGTTCCCAATCAGCTGTGCAAGAGGGACTCCATTCTCCTTCCCTTTTCCCCCTGGAAAATGATATTGCAAAATTACTGTAAAAAGAGACGATCAAGCCCTGGCCGGTTTGGCTTAGCGGTTAGAGCATCGGCCTGCGGTCCGGAGAGACCCGGGTTCGGTTCCCGCCAAGGGCATGTACCTCGGTTGCAGTTTGTCCCCGGCCCTGGTTGGTCGTGCGGGTGGCAGCCACTCGATGTGTCCCTTTCACATCGATGTTTCTCTCTCTCTCTTCCTCTCTCTCCCTCCCACTCTATCTGTACAAAAAATGGAAAAATGTCCTCGGGTGAGGATAAAAAAAAAAAGAGAGACGATCAAAAAATGCGTCATAGTGGAATAGCAATTATGAATACAAATTGTGGTATTTCTGGATTTTGGGATGTTTGTGCCATTAGTCAATTTAAAAAAAGTTTAATTTGTCGTGTGTTCTCTTCTCATTCTGAGTAAACACGTATCTAATCTTATCATAATAAATTAACATGTTTTTTCTTATTGAACACCCCGTGGACTTTGGGCTGGCACACCTGGCCGGGCTCAGCATCACATTCACAGGGCCCACCTGGCTGCCGGGGAGGCCTAGCTGCAAAAGGCAAACAAGTTTTTGGCAAGTGGGAGCCTCTTCATGGCCTAAGGACACAAAGGCCTCCTCAGGAAGGAGGCCAGTCAAGAAGGCCTGCTCACCAAAAGCCACCACTGAGAGGGTGACAGGACACCCTGCTTGGAGGAGGGTGTGTGTGCCTCTGGTGCAGACACAGGGGCCTCGGTACACCAGATCCTGTACTTGGGAATTCTGTTCGCCCGCATGTATCTGTAACCTCACACTCGAGAGTTGTGGCACTCTTGAGGTCGCGAGGGACATGCGAAGCACTGTGAAAACACTGAGTTGCCCCATACCTGTGTCCCCTGAGATGGGCCGAGGCGACACCTGGCCTCTGGTTCAGCTCGGACTGGAAACAGGTATCCTTTCTGCCATCTACTTAACGCTACATGTTCTGCATCTCTGTGCTTTTCCTTGGTGATTCACTGCTTACAATGGCCCCACGCCTGGTGCTAAAGTCCTAAGTGCAGGAGGCCAGGACACGCCATTTGGAGAAAATCTGTGTGTCCGACAGCTTGTTAGGCTGAGACAGTGCCGCTGGCTGAGCTCAGGGTTCACGGGCCAACGATGTGTGTTCAATGTGTGACTGTGACCGGACTAAGGGCAGGTTCAGGATGGTGGGTGGTGCCCAGGAGACAGGTGGAGAGGAGTGGACCCAGGAGCTCACAGCCATTTGGCTTGAGGTTCAGGAAAGGGGAAGAAGTGGGCAGTGAGTTGAGTATTCAGAGTCAGAGACTCAGATTCATATCACAAAGGCACTGTCTGAGGAAGCCCATGGAAAGGGGTACTTTTCCTTTCCTCGACTGCTCCCCCTCCCCCCATAGGGCTTTCACACCTTATTTTCCCCTGCCTGGATGCCCCGCCCCCTGCCTCCAGCCAGCTCCTCCTGGTCACTCAGAACTGGTGCCTCTGTCCAGCACAGGCACCAAGACAGCAGGTGCCATTTCTAGGCTTGTTTTTTAGTTTGTTGTCTGTCTGCCCAGAATTCACCTCCAGGGGGGCAGGGATGCCAGCCCAGAGCCCCAGGCCCATAAACACTCAGTGAACACTTTCTAGAAAAATGACGAACCTTTCCAGGATTGGAGGGGTGGGGGGTCTCTGCCCTCCTTCTCAGGGGTCTGCTCCTCTATGTCTTCAGACCTGGTCCCTGGCATCCCCTCTCTCTCCAGAGTCCACTCCTGGAATCCCCTCTGCCTCCCTCCGAGGCCCTACCAGCAGGTGGGGCACAGTGCCAGGCATTTCCTGTGCAGCGTTTGGGGTCATTACACCCTTTCCTGGGACATTATCGTCCCCTGCCCCGGTTTCTTCTCCTCTGGTATCCTGGGGCCCCGCCCTCGCCGGCACCCAGGAGAGCCAGCCTCTCCAAGGACCTGCAGTTCATGCTCGTCCTGCCGGGGTCGCGGCCTGGCTGGAAGGCAGCCAGCCCACAACTCAGCAAGGACCAGGCAGGACCCCAGCAAGCCCCTTGGCCCACGACGCCCGGCGCGGCCACTGGCACTGCAGTTCGCGGTCAGGCTCACAGGAACAGGGGCCCTGGAGTGCTGGCAGGCGACAGGGCAAGATGACCGTGTGGACACGTCCCCAGCGCCGCCTGGACAAGACAATGCTGTGCGTGCTGGGGTCGTCCCTCCGCAGGGTCGGGTGCCCAGCGGGCAGGGATGGGGGCGGGATCCACTGCGGTCCTAGGAGCGCAGTGGGAGCGGGGTTTCCTATCCGGCAGGGGTTCAGGACTGCCCGAGATAAGAACGGGAGGCCAGGGCCCAGAGCGAGGTACGCCGGCCTCTGGGACTTCCCACGGGAGAACGGATGGGAGGGAGCTCCTGTAAGGCCATCCATGAACAGACGAGGCAGCAACGTATGGGCGGGCTGAAGGTGCTGGCCGGCGCTGGCCGGGAGCATCAGTCCCGGCTTGCGGTGAGGACTGGGGGTGCTGCGGACAGGGAGGGAGGGTCCACGCGTCCGAAGACCCCAGGGCCGTCTCCATCGCCCTCTTCTTCCACCCTGGAGCCCCGGGCTGTGCCGCGCGCGCGCTGGGTCACCCTGCGCAACCGCGAGCCGCAAGGCAGGATCCTGGGACCGCGTGGGAGGTGTCCGTCTGCGCAGGCGCGCGCCTGAACGCCGCAGGTGCAGTCGCCTCGGTTGGTGTCGCGACGTCGTGTGCGGGGAGCCGAGTCTGGCTCCGGTTTCGGGCTCTCGGCCAGAGGCCGCCGTACCCATCCTCCTGGCCGTCCCACCGGGACCCCAGCGATGCAGCCCACCCAGCCTCCCGCCCCACAGGCCCCGCCCCCGTCCAGGGGCCGGCCCCACGCCAGCCCCCTCCCCTCAGGCCCACCTCGATAGGACCCGCTCCCCCAGGCCCCGCCCCAGGGCCCTCGGCCCCGCCCCTGCAGGCCTCACTTCCCGCATCAGCCCCGCCCCCAGCCCTATCTCTTGCCGGCCCCGCCCTGTATCCCGGCCCGGCCCCGCCCCACATGCCGCACCTCGCTCGGCCTCGCCATCCAGCCCCGCGCGCCGCCCCGCCCGGCTGGGGCCCGAGAGTGCGCGCCTGCGCAGTGGAGCGGGCGCAGTCGGAAGCCCGGCGCGGACTGCGGGCACAGCCGGGACCACGGCCTCCCTCGGCGCAACGCGGATCCGGCTCTCGCCCGCCGCCGGGGCTCGGGCCGCCCGGGTCGGGGATGGCGGCGGCGGCCGAGCCCGGGGCCCGCGCCTGGCTCGACGGCGGCTCGCCGCGCCCGGGCAGCCCGGCCTCCAGCCCCGATCTGGGCAGTGGAGGCCGCGCTCGGCTGGGGCCGGGGCTGGGGTCCGGGCCGGGGCCGGAGCGGGCAGGGGCCAGGCCCCTGGGCCCCGCTGCGCCGGGCCACAGCTTCCGGAAGGTGACGCTCACCAAGCCCACCTTCTGCCACCTCTGCTCCGACTTCATCTGGGGGCTGGCAGGCTTCCTGTGCGACGGTGAGCGCCGTGACCCCATCGCAGACCGCAGCCCCGGCCGGAGCAGGCGCCGCACCTCCGGCCTCCGCACGCCCGGCCGTGGCTTTCCCACGGGCAGGGGTATGCCGGCCAGAAGTGATGAGGTCCAGCCCTGCCTAGGGCTTGGAGGTGTCTGGTGCCGGCGGTCCCTCCCAGGACTCCCTGGGCTCCCTCACCTGGGTCGGGTCCAACGGGGGGGCCCCCGGTGTGGGGCAGGGTGAGTGAGGTGCAGGTGCAGTGTTGGGGTGAGGCCAGCCCACCCTGAGCAGGCCCGCTCCTCCAGGCAGGGCCGGTCTGGGCCACTGGCTCCTGTGCTCTGGTGCCGGTCCATTCTCGCACAGGGTGCGTGCACTCTGCTGCCCACAGGGGCCTGATTTCTGTGCTGCTCAGGTTCGGACTCCCGGACAGCCCGGCCAGGGCCTGCTATCCCGTTTGGCATGTCCCAACAGGGCTCCCATCCAGCTGCCAACCCACCGACTGGGCCAAAAGTCCCTCCCTCCTCTGGCTCCTGGACAGCCAGTGTGTGAGCTTCCAGGGTTTGCTCTCTAACCCTAACCCTTCCTCAGGGCAGGTGGGGGTGGCAGGGTGGGGAGTTCTCCCCCTCCTCAGGAAGACAAGCCTTTAATTCTGGGGACAGAGGGACGACTAAAGCAGAGGTCTGTAGTGACTTGGTCAGGTCTGGGTAGAGGAGGCTAGACCCCCTCACACAGGATGCTTTCTGCCACAGTAAATGGCATGTTTGTCCTGACCCCAGGGAGCTGACCCAGGTGGCCTGGCCAGTAGGCATGGGAGTGGTTACCCTGGTTTCTCTGTCATATTGGAGACATTGCACTGCCCTGTCTCCCCCCTGGGAGTGCCAGGAAGCTCACCCAAAGTAGGAGACATGTTTGTACAGTCCAACTCAGCTCCAGTCTGAGGCTGGACCCAGGACCCCCGCACAGGTGAGAGGTGGGGAAGGCAGGGTTCCAGTCTGAGGCTGGACCCAGGACCCCCCCCACCCCACCCCCCGCACAGGTGAGAGGTGGGGAAGGCAGGGTTCCAGTCTGAGGCTGGACCCAGGACCCCCCCTCCCCCCGTACAGGTGAGAGGTGGGGAAGGCAGGCTCCAGGTCTGAGGAGCTCAGCTGCTCACTGAAAGAGGCTGGACACAGGGGTGATGTGAGGCCTTTGCTGGGCAGCTATGTGGACACCCAGCTGTTGAGAAGGGGCTGGCGGTCTCAGCAAATAGAGGGGCCTGATAAGGATGTGGGAGGAAGAGGCCCCTCCCCTGCCAGACACCCAGGACATGTGATGTGGGGTGATGGGGTGCTATCTTCATGGACCAGAGGGGGAAGCTGGGCACTGCCTGCCCACAGCTGCTGCCTTCTGTGGTAGAGCTGGTCTGAGTGCCGGGAGGGGAAGCTGACGGGGAGCTCACTGCTGGGCCTCTGTGTCATTCCACTTCTCCGCCCTGAGCCCAGACTGCTTCTGGAATTTTCTGTGAAGCAAGGCCTCGGGCTGCTCTTGCCAGCTGGAGGAGTTCGTCTGCCTCCCTGGAGTGGCTGGGTAGGATGGAGCGGCCTCGAGGTCCCTGGGAGATTTCACCCAAGACTTGGAGAGTTGTCCCTCTGCTACCTGCCTGCTTCCCAGGCCCCTGCAGCCTTGTCCATCCCATCCCGCCCCAGTGGGGCCCCCTTTGGGGCCCCCCATCCTCACAGACATACCCCTGCTGCAAGTGCTACCAGAGGCTGCTCCAGCCACTCTTCCTGAGGTCTCCCCTTTCCTATCATCTTTGGGTCCATCTCACAGCTGAGCCTTAGTCTTGGCGGGCCTTGAAGGATGGGCGGGGGTGCCCCCTTGCTTCCCGGGTGGGCCTTGGGAGCACAGCACAGTCTGAGTGCTCACTGCCTTTAGGGCCCCTGTGTGGTCTACCCCTCTGGATGGGGCAGTTGCAGCCCTCACCAGGCCAGCTGTCTCGCCAGCCTCAGTGAGGTTCTGGCCCATCACAGACTGGCTGTGGGTCTCGGCAGGCACACGGCAGGCGTGTGGGAGTGGTAGTTTGGGGTGTATGCAGCTGTGGATGTGTGAGGGAAGGGTGTTCCTGGCCAAGCCAGTCTGGGAGGATATGCTCAGGTGCCCACCCACCTGCATGCCCCTCACAGAGACCCGGAGAGCTGAGCCTGCATGTGGGGGCAGGGCCACTCCTGGGACACCAGATATGTGATCCAGGATGGTCAGAGCCACCAGGCCCCTGTTCCTTGGGTCTGGGCTCTCTCTGGATGAGGGGTAGGGTGGGGCAGAGGATTAAGGTGTCCCTTTGCACTTCTGCGTATGGGGGAGAGTTTGTTGCTATGGCTTCCTTCTGCCCCCATGACCATGGGGTGGTGGGAACCACTCTTCCCATCATTCCCACTATTGGATGGGGCTGGAGGAAGGCACTGACTCCCCCAAACAGGAATTGGCCCCATCAGCTAAGGCAGAGTGCCCCCACTGTGCTGGTATTCTGCTGTCAGAACACTGGCCCTGCCTCCTGGCCCTCGGAGGTCCGGGCCAAGGTTCCCTCCGCGCGCCAGGCCTGGGGTCCCTCGATTCCTGGGCAGCGCGGGGCTGATTCCTACGGCTTTGCTCCCCAGTCTGCAACTTCATGTCCCACGAGAAGTGCCTGAAGCAGGTGAAGACCCCCTGCAGCAGCGTGGCGCCCAGCCTGGTTCGGGTGCGTGTGAAGTGTGGGCCGCGCGCTGGGTGGGGCGAAGGGGCGGGGCGGCTCTGTGGCAGGCAGAGCTTGGTGCTCAGGCCTCAGGTCGGATGGGCTGGGCTGTGGGCACCGCCTGGGGCTGGGGTGGGAGGGCCTGTTGTGCTAATCTGAGTGAGTTTAGGACTGCACCCCTGCTGTGAGCCCCTCCCCAACCAGCCAGGCCTCCCTTCCACTGCTCCTCACCCCTCCCTCCGCCTTCCCCAGCACTGCCCCTCCTGCCTGTTGGTGGGTGCTCCTCCTGTGTTTCATCGGGGTTGCCCCGAATGTACCACAGAGGAACAGACCTGGGGAAGTGGTCAGTGCCGGGACTTCCTGGTCAGCGCAGCTGGGTGGGGAAGGACCAACAGGGGTGTCCCCCAGCAGAAGGGGCTTTGTGAGATCACTGTGGGGGCTCAGGGCAGCCTCGGCCCTACACAGAGCAGGGCAGTCCCCGGAGAACCCTTCACAGCGCGGTGTAACGTGTGCAGGAGGATCTGGGGGGTGGGGTACTGCAGTGGCCAGGCAGGTGGTGTCGGCGGTGTTGGGAGCTTTCTGGGATGTAGACTGGATGAGGGTGGGGGTGGGGGAGTGGACAGTGGGCCCCAGGCTGAGACTGCTCTGCCCGTCCAGGTTCCTGTGGCCCATTGCTTTGGACCCCGGGGGCTCTACAGACGCAAGTTCTGTGCTGTGTGCCGCAGGGGCCTGGAGGCGCCCGCGCTGCGCTGTGAAGGTACCGCCGACCAGGGCCCTGGTCGCTGCTGCTCAGGGTGCACGGCCAGGCGGCTGGGCAAGGGCGGAGGGGCGGCCGGAGGGGCAGGTGAAAATGTTCTGGGTTCTGGAGCTGCCCGGCTGGGCCGCAGGCACTTCAGGCACCGGGAGCTTAAAGGTAGCGAGGCGAGGGCGGGGCCCAGGCCCAGCTGAGATGGGGGTGAGAAGAGGGCAGGGCCCTGGGGAGCGTCGAGAGGCCCCTAACCCTGCCCGCCCCCCAGTGTGTGAGCTGCACGTTCACCCCGACTGTGTGCCCTTCGCCTGCAGCGACTGCCGCCAGTGCCACCTGGACGGGCACCGGGACCACGTGAGTGCGGAGGGGCGGGCGGCCGGGGCTGGGGTGGCGGAGGGGCCGACCGAGCCTGCTGACGCCCCCCCCCCCCGCAGGACACGCACCACCACCACTGGCGGGAGGGGAACCTGCCCTCGGGTGCGCGCTGCGAGGTCTGTCGGAAGACGTGCGGCTCCTCCGACGTGCTGGCCGGTGTGCGCTGCGAGTGGTGCGGCGTCCAGGTGGGAGGAGGGGCCGCGGGGGCCTGTGGCGCGGGGGGGGGGGGTGTAGTGGAGTCTCCAGGGGGCGGGGCGGGGGTGCCTCCTTTCTATCAGCTCTCCCGTGGTGGCTCTTTCGGGGTGGGGATCCCCGCTGTGCAGAGAGTGGAGGCCGCCGGGGAGCTGGCAGTCCTACCCGGCCCCTGCGGGTCCCTGAGGGCCAGCCTGGACGCGGCCCTGTCCCACCCAGAGGCCCAGGCTCAAGGCCGTGCCCCCCTTAGGCCCACACGGTCTGCTCTGCCGTGCTCGCCCCCGAGTGCACGTTCGGGCGCCTGCGCACCATGGTCCTGCCCCCGGTGTGCGTGCGCCTGCTGTCCCGCAACTTCAGCAAGACGCACTGCTTCCGCATCTCGGAGAGCGCGGTCCCCGAGCCGGGTGAGCGGGGTGTGGGCGGCTGGCAGGTGCGCCTGGGGGGGCCGGACCGAGTGAGTGGCCCTGTGTGTATCCCACAGGCGAGGGGGACTGCAGCCTGGATGGAAGCACCCCCGCCAGCCCGGGCAGAGAGGTGCCGGTGCCCGAGTCCAGTAGGTGCCCCCTAGCCGCTGCCCAGCCCCCCACCCCGCCCCCCACCCAGTTCAGACCCGCATCCTGCGGGTTCACACCCACTTCGCTCTGGCCCAGACAAGCAGACTCTGAAGGTCTTTGACGGCAGCGATGCTGTTCATCGCAACCACTTTCGCGTCGTCAGCGTCCCCCGCCTGGCCAGGAGTGAGGAGGTGCTGGTAAGAGGGGCCCCCACAGGCGGCGGCAGGGCCCGTCCAGCGGGCGCCCTGCACTCCCGCCTCCCTCCTCGCCCGCCCGCAGGAGGCAGCGCTGCGAGCCTACTACATCACGGAGGACCCGCGCGGCTTCGAGCTGCAGGCGCTCCCCGCCGCGCTGCAGGCTGGCGACCCCGACCCCGAGGCCAGGGGAAAGGCTCAGAGGGGCAGGACTTTGGAGGAGGAGGGGAGCAGGGGCCCCAGGTCCCGAGAGGTAGCTCCTGAGGCCTGGATCATCCGCACTCTGCCTCGAACCCAGGACATCCTGAAGGTCTACCCAGCTTGGCTCAAGTGAGACCCAGGCTCCAGGCATAGGGTCTGGGAGGGGTTGGGGGTTTGGGCAGTTGGCCCAAGCTCCTGAGCTTGTCCCCTGCAGGGTGGGTGTGGCCTACGTGTCCATTTGTGTGACTCCGGAGAGCACTGTGAAGACCGTGGTGACAGAGGTCCTCCCGATGCTCGGGCGCCAGGTATGTACATGGCCTGCCTTGGTCCCAGCCACCATGGGCCGGCAGCTGTCCCAGTCCTGTGTGGGTGCCCCGGCTGGATGTCCTGGGGAGGTGGGGGTTGGGCCAAGCCTGATACCCCCACTCTGCCCCCACAGGCCGAGGGTCCCGAGAACTTCCAGCTGGTGGAGGTGCTCATGGGCAGCAGGCAAGGTGAGTGGGTGGCCTGCAACCGATGCCCCAACCAGTCTGCCCCTTGGTGCCCTGGGGCGTTGGGGCAGCTGTCTGAAGAGGTGGCACAGTGCCCAGTGCTGATGGCTGTGCCTCTCGCCCTGTAGTGCAGCGGACAGTGCTGGCAGATGAAGAGTTTTTGCTCAACCGGCTTCGAGACATCCGGCAGGTCAGTGGGTGTGGACTCTGGCCCCTGGGAGCTGCTGGCCTTTGGCCATGGCCTCTGTCTCATAGACAAGGGCCCCCATGGCCACCAGGTGGGCAGCTGACCATCCTGGCCAGCATTGCCTCCCTCTCAGGCCTGGCAGGTCCATCTGCCTCCTAACAGGTCACCTGTTCCTTGAAGATGGGGTTTTGGGCCCAGAGCCCCTGAGTCCCTGAGGGGAATAAAAAAAGGAAGCCTGTGCCTTCCGTCCTCCCCTCTTCTTCCCAGAGCTCCCTTTTGGGTGTGGGTGGAGGGGCCTAGCGTGGGTGCTGCCCTGTGCTCTGCTCAGCGCCACTCCGCCCCCTCCCCACAGACATCCCTGCGGCAGATGAATCAAACACGCTTCTACGTGGCTGAGCGCAGGGCCGTGCTCCCCCGCGTCTCCCTGTTCGTTGGTGGCCTGCCTCCCGGCCTGTCCCCCCAGGAGTATGGCAGCCTGCTGGATGAGGCTGTGGCCACCAAAGGTGTGACCACCTGGGCTGTCCTGAGGCTGCTGGCTGCAGGCTACCAGGGATGGAGGGGGCCCCTGAGACAGACCATGGGGGCTGCTGGATGAGGCCAGGTCTCCCTACTCCCCCGTTACCCAGCTGGTTCCCCACCCAGTGGGTTGGTCCTCAGCTCCAGGGCCCAGACTGCAACAACCCCTCTGAGGGGCTTTGAGCCTCCTGAGGTCTACTATGTCTTCTTTGCTCTAGGCTCTGGGAGGGGGGGAAGTGGGGAGGGGAGGGGGCTGTGCCTGTGGTTGAGGGGTGGCCCTTGCTGAGGTGGTTGGCCTTGTCCCGTGGTGTGAAGTTTCCCCTGAACAAAGGCTGGGGGGCTGCTGAGCTGGTGGGCCAGCCCTGGGGAGCCGGGGCCTCTGCTCTGCCTCTCCTCCGCCTCCCCGACCGCTCACATGTCTTTGCAGCTGGCCTGGTGTCCCTGAGCCACACCTATTCCTCGCAAGGTGAGCCACCCCACCCACTCTAGGGCAGAGGCTGCTCCCCGCAGTTAGAGGGCAGGGCCCCACCCTTCCTGCCTCAGTGCCAACCAGCTCGTGTTTAGACCCGACTTCTCTCAGGAACCACGGGTGAGGGAAAGTGTTCTGTTTCCTGGCCCGAGGGGTTGATGCTTTGCTGAACCGTCTGCCCCGGGTTCACCTCCTCCTGGTGGAAAACGTCAAATCCACCAGAAGTGGGAGAACGGCACCTCGAGCCCTTCTGTGGGTCCTCGGCGGTTACCAGTCCTCCATGCCGGTGGGCTCGTCCCCGTGGGTCGGGGGCTCAGTGGGCCGGGAGTGAGGGTGTGCCCTGTTGCTCCGTCCTGCGTCCTGGTGGCCTCCCTCACACCCACCTACCCGTCCTGTCTCTGTGAAGTTGTGAAGTCTCCCCCAGGGGTGGGGGTCCTGCACCGGGTGGATGCCCATGGAGGGGCTGACCGGAAACTGGCCGAGGCCTGAGCTCACGGCCCACACGTCCCAGGTGCTGTGGTGCTGGAGGTGGCCTGCTTCGCAGAGGCCGAGCGGCTGTGCATGCTGGTCAGGGACACAGTGGTACACAGCCGGCTGCTGACGGCCCTCGTGCTCCCGGACGTGTTGGTGAGTGGGAACCGGGGCCCGGGGGGACGAGGCTTCCACTCCTGGATCTAACACTCGGGCGTCTGCCACACACGCCTGGTTCACCTGCGTGAGAGGCCTGCATGGACCGTGAGGACTCCCCACAGGCCCTTGCCCTCTCCTGGGACACCGGGCCTGGCCTCGTCCCCTGTCCAGCAGACTTGTGGGACCCCTGCTTGCGCCCTTGGTCACCTTGGCCAGCAGGTGGCACTCTAACCAGACACGGTCCAGAAGACCCAGCATTGCCTGGAGGAAGGGAGCTTGGTGGCCAGCCTGGGGCGAGGGTGGGCTCTGCTGTGGGCACAGCTTGGGTCTGGGCAGGGAGAGGGGCCAGTGCTGGTCTCGGCCCTGTGGCCCAGGGCCCCCAGGTGTCTGTGGCTGCTCTGCTCCTGGCCCTGGCCTGACCCAGGGGAAGCAGGATGACAGCTGAGTGAGCTCAGGATCTGTGCCCCAGTGGGTGACGCCTGCAGGACCCCTTGCCCCGCCCCACCCTGAGCCAGCTCAGGAAGGGTGCCCCACCAGAGGATGCAGCCGAAGGTCAGGGCCCTGTCACCCAGCGCCCGGGGCAGAGCGGGCGGTGGTGCTGATGACTCAAACTTCCTCCCTCCTGGCAGTCACCTGCCTCGGGTGGGCAGGTGCCTGCAGGCAGCCCTGCTCTGTGGGTCACGTCACCCCAAGTGTTTCTTGCCCTTGGGCCATGGCTACTGTGCTTGTGCCCAACCTGTATGTCTCCTGTCAACCAGCAACCTCATTGTAGGGATCCCAACCCCCAGTCTTGTCTTTGCCTGTGGGGATCCCCCAGCCTCCTGCCCACTGTCTCCTGGGCACTGTGTTTTGGAGATTGGGTAGGAGGGCCTTCATCCTGAGCCTGAGGGGAGGTATGTGGCTCCTGGCTGCCATGTGAGTGGGCGGGGCCCTGGGAGCCGCATCCTCTCAGGCTTTGTACCAGCTGGCTCCCAGAGGGGCGGGGGGGCCCCATCCTGGGCTTGTGGCTGCACGGATGACGGGGTGAGGTCTCGGGGACGCGTGTCAGTGGCTGTGTGTCGGGCTGTGGGCCCGGAGCTCCAGGCTGGCGGCCGCATGTTGGCCCTGTCGGCCAGAGGCTTGTTGGTGCCCCCTCTGCCTTGGGGGTATCCCTACAGGCCAGTGACAAACTGGGGATGCTTTGTGGCCCCTGAGACTTCCTCAGGAAGGGCTGCCCCAGGTGGGCCCAGGGCTGGGTGCGGCCACTGCCCAGGTAGTGCGGTGGGGGAGGCACCTGCCCTGACTCCGCCCTGTCTGTCAGCACACGAAGCTGCCTGCAGACTGCCGGCCCCTCCTCGTGTTTGTGAACCCCAAGAGTGGGGGCCTCAAGGGCCGTGACCTACTCTGCAGTTTCCGGAAGTTGCTGAACCCTCACCAGGTCTTTGAGCTGACCAATGGGGGGCCTCTTCCCGGGTGAGTCGGGGGGGGGGGCCCTGCCATAGGGTTCACAGCCTGGCAGCCCTTCAAGGGGTTTTCACACACCTGTCGACAGGCTGGTGGGACTCGGTTGGGGTTTGGTGTGGGAAACCTCAAGGGCCGCCTCGGGTGGGGTGAGCTGTGCCCGTCCCATCTGGGGTCTCAACCGCCTGCCCCACGTGCCGCGTGGCTGTGGCTGGAGGCAGACCGCCCGTCCCCGTCCCCAGGCTCCACGTGTTCTCCCAGGTGCCTTGCTTCCGGGTGCTGGTGTGCGGCGGGGATGGCACTGTGGGCTGGGTGCTGGCTGCCCTGGAGGAGATGCGGCACCGGCTGGCCTGCCCAGAGCCTTCCGTGGCCATCCTGCCCCTGGGCACAGGTGGGTCAGCCATTGAGTCGGGAGGCGGGGCCTTGGGACTCATCCCTTCCTGCATCGTGTGTCACTTGAGGCCCAGGGTGGGAGGCGTGTGGAGAGTCAGCCTGCTCTCACCGCCCCCAGGGAATGACCTTGGCCGGGTCCTCCGCTGGGGGGCGGGCTACAGCGGAGAGGACCCTTTCTCGGTGTTGGTGTCTGTGGACGAGGCGGATGCTGTGCTCATGGACCGCTGGACCATCCTGCTGGATGCCCAGGAGGCCAGCGGTGCGGAGAACAGTGTGGCGGACCTGGAGCCCCCCAAGGTACGTGTGCCCGGGGAAGGTGTGGCGGCCTTGGGGCCCTGTGGGGGACTCTTATCCGTTATGAGGGGAAGTTGAGGCTCAGAGCAGTGACTGCCGAGTGGGCCCAGGGCTGGCCGAGAGCCTGCTGGCAGCCATGCTGCCTCCCCGGTGCTGGTGGTTATGAAGCAGGGCAGCCACCACACAGGCAGCTCCAGCAGGGGTGCAGCTGGGTGGAGACGGGAGGCTGGACCCAGCTTGGGAAGGTGGGAGCACCTGGAGGGCTGATGGGAGGACCCTTCTTGTCCCCAGATTGTGCAGATGAGCAACTACTGCGGGATCGGCATCGACGCGGAGCTCAGCCTGGACTTCCACCAGGCTCGAGAGGAGGAGCCCAGCAAGTTCACGAGCAGGTGCTGCCCTGGGGCCACAGAAGTTGGGGCTGACCTAGGCCGCAGAGGCTGGCGCCACCCTGGTGACAGCTTGCATCCTGGGAACGCACCAGCAGGAATTGGTGGTGGTGCTGGCACCTGGGGCTGCTTTAGGAGAGCCCCCACCCCGTAACAATAGGCGCACCCTCCTCCGGCAGGTTGCACAACAAAGGTGTGTACGTGCGCGTGGGGCTGCAGAAGATGAGCCAGTCCCGCAGCCTGCACAAGGAGATCCGGCTGCAGGTGGAGCAGCGGGAGGTGGAGCTGCCCAGCATCGAGGGCCTCATCTTCATCAACATCCCCAGGTGCCAGTGGGCGGGGCTCTCGGGGGCTCTGCCTCAGCTGCAGCCTCAGCTCCAGGCTGGTCCTGGCTCGGGTGGGGCTCTGGGCCCCGTGCAGCCTGCACTCACCTGTGCACCCCTCCCTCTCGGCACAGCTGGGGCTCAGGGGCTGACCTGTGGGGTTCCGACAGCGACTCAAGGTTTGAGAAGCCACGAATGGACGACGGGCTGTTGGAGGTGGTGGGGGTGACGGGCGTCATGCACATGGTGAGTGTGGGTGCACGGGTGGGCCGCAGCGTGACATGCCGCCTGCTGAGCCCACCTGCCCTCTCCCCGCCAGGGCCAGGTGCAGGGCGGGCTGCGCTCCGGCATTCGCATTGCCCAGGGCGCCTACTTCCGAGTCACCCTTCTCAAGGCCACACCCGTGCAGGTGGACGGTGAGCCCTGGGTTCAGGCTCCTGGCCACATGATCATCTCCGCTGTGGGCCCGAAGGTGAGTGACTGGGTGAACGTAGGGGCTGAGCCGCTGTGAGGTGGGCTTGGTGCTGGCAGGCTGCAGCTGTGGGGAGGGCGCAGCCCAGGCAGTCCCGCTGGCCCCTTCTTTCCTGACCCTGGGAGGTCCTGTGGCCCCTACAGGTTAGGCTGGCCCTTCAAGAGCACCTGCTTCTCCTCTGGAAATCAGCCCCTGGACCTCAGAGGCTTTTCTGCTGGACAGCGGTGGGACTTGAGGCCCTGCCTCACAGTCAGTCATGTGGCCCCCACTCGGCCTCCTATGAAGCGGGCTAAGATGGTGTTGCATGTTCTGGGGTCCTTGGCTGGTGGCCTGCCCTCTGACCTCACCCGCCCCGGGACAGGTCCACATGCTCAGGAAGGCCAAGCAGAAGCCCAAGAAGACTGGGACCCCCAAGGATGCCAGAGCAGATGCCTACCCTTGAGGGAGCCCCCAAGTAGAGAATGGCCCCAGAGCGTCTGTGCCGGTCCTGCAGCAGTGGTGGGCAGTGGTGGATGCACCTGTAGCCCTGACCTTGGGGCATTTCTCCCCACATCCCTGCCTCCCAAACAGTGACCTGGGGTGGGCAGGGGCTCCAGCTGGCCCATCCTCTAGTGCCCTTGGAGGGCATGCCTCCCGTCACCCCGGGACCTCCTGTGTCCTTTGGATGGTTCCCAGATGCTCCGACAGAGTAGCTGGCTCTGAGGGTCCCAGGAATGCCCAGCAGACATGGGGCACCCACCTGCCACCAGCTCCTCTGGCTCCTGACCTGTGGCCCAGAAGTGAAGGCCCGGCGGGCTGGGCCAGCACCCCGAGGGTGGAGTTGGTGTCCGAAGGCGGTGGGCTGACATAAGTGCCTGGAAAGGCCCAGAGAAAGTGGTGACAGTGGGAGCGAGGAGGGGCCAGCTTTAATCACCAAGGACAACTCGGCACTTTGCGTCTTGTTTGCCAATGATCAACGTGGCTGTTCCCCGAGTCTGCTTAGCAGACAGGACTTCTCCTCCCCACGGAGACCCACTGGGTGGGTGGCGGCTGACCAGCCCGAGTTCAGACGACCCGCGGAGCCGGTTGCGAACCCCAGGAAGAACCTGAGTGGACGTTCGGTCTGCCTGGGAAGCCTCCTGAGGCCCCAGACGAGGACCCACAAACCCTTGCTGCTCCCCATTGTCCAACCCTGTGCTGGGTCCTTTTGCTGCTAGTGCCTCTGGCAGGGCTGGCCCCTGGCACCCCCAGGGGCTTTGCCCTGAGGTTCGTCCTCAACCTCAGATGTGCCCCTACCCCCAGCTTCTGCCAAAACCGCACTGCCAGTGCGCGATGCCCATCTTGTGTGCCTCCGGACGCGGTTCCTCCGCCCGTCCCTGTGGTGACTGGCCTGCCCTGCAGGCTGCTGCTGAGTGTCTGTGGGCTCTGTCTGTAACTGGTCAGGTGACTGTGTCCTGTGTCAAGTGCGTCTGTGCCCAGAGATGTCTCTGCCACCGTAACTTATGTCTGCCGCAAATACAGTCCGGCACTGCCTTGCTCCGTCTCGCTCCTGTCCGAGGACCGTGCGGGGCGGGGCGGGGGGGGGCAGCTCACAGCCCGGAGGCTGCCAGCTCTGCACATGGGGAGGGCGGGTCAGGCCGGGCCGAGGGTCCCAGGAGGGCAGCTTGGCACAGAGGACCTGGGCCCCACCTGCCCAGAACCGTCCGCAGCCAGCCCACACAGTGGTCGGGGCTTGTGTGGGCCTCGGGCGGGACGGCACCACGAAGCCCAGCCCAGGCAGGCTGGTGCTAGCAGGGGGCGGGGAGCAGCGGGGCCTGCGGGGCCTCCTCGACGCCCTGCGCGGGCCGGGCCAGACCTCGCAGTGCCCGCAGGAGGGCCAGGGCCAGGCGCACGAGGAGCCGCAGCAGCAGGAAGGCGAAGGGCACGGCGATCTGCATGAGGTGGAAGATGGCCGTGCTGAACCTGCTCAGGAAGCAGGTGGAGGCGAAGGCCAGCAGGCTGGCGCAGGGGTACAGCGCCAGCTTGGCAAACATGAAGGCGTGCTCCCGGCCCCCAAACCGTGCAGGGGGCTGCAGCGTCTCCGCCTCGTGCAGCAGGGCGGCCGTCCACATGGCGAACTGGAAGATGCTGGCGAAGAAGATGATGGCGCAGCTGACCCGCACGCTCTCCAGCTCGTCGCGGGGCTGCCGGGCGAAGGCTGAGGTCTGCTGGTAGGCCAGCGGCAGGCCGCCCACGAAGGCCAGCGAGAGCGTGTTGAGCAGCCCCATGGACTGCGTGGCCTTGCGCACGTGCAGGAACAGCGAGTGGTGGGCGAACCACAGCAGGCCCACGGTGGCGAAGGAGCCAAAATAGGCCAGGAAGTGCGGCCCGTACACGCTCAGCGCGGCCACCAGGCTGCCGTGGAACCTCTCTTCCACGTCCTTGGCATCTGGGACGTTGTCCTCACTGAGGATGTGAACAGACAGCACCTGAGCAGCCCCAGTGCAGGCGGTGCTCAGCGCCCTGCCCCACCCGGCTGCTGCCCTGCGCAACTGGATGTCAGGTGAACGAGGACTTTGGGGAGCACCTAGTTCACACTGCCCCTAATAACACACACTCAGCACAGCAGACAGCCTAGTGTCAACCATCCGAAGTCCCAGCTTCAGTGCACCCCATCCTCTCTGCCAAATGGAGGCCGGGCCTGGTCACTGGAGCCTGGGCCCTCTGGCCTCCACAGGTGCTACCTGCGAGGTCTTCCACCCTCCCGCAGCGGCCTGTCCACTTGGGGCACAGACCCACAGACATGACGGTAAGGAGCAATTCCAAGGTGTGTCAAGCCCTGGGCTCCTCCGCTCCGGGAGGTCATGGGGGCTGCTGCTTTCAACTGCACGCCCAGAAAGCTCAGCGGCAGCTCTGAACCAGTGGGGGCAGGGGCACCTGACACACCGTCCCCATAGGGGTGCTGCACATGTGTTGGCGGGGGGGCTGGACTCGGGTTACAAGGAGGGAATGGGAGACAGAAGCTGGGAGTGGTTGCCTGGGGACCCCATGAGGTCCTCAGGGCCAGCAGGGAGGGTGGCCGGGCTCTGGGTAGGGTGGAGGGAAGAACGTCCCCTCCCCTGGCCCCCAACTGCAGCCAATCCCCACACCACTCATGGAGGGACCAACGCAGCAGAACATTCTGGAAGCTCAGGCCTAGGCCTCAGAGATTGGCACCAGTGGACACTTGCTCCTGATCTCTAAAATTCACAAATTACGGTGAAAAGAGTTGCCGGGGAAGAATCAGAACGAAGACTTTAGACCATCACAAAGAACATGATGTCGGGCTCCCAACGTGCTAACAAGGAGGACTTACTGAAAGCCAACCAGGGACAAAAGGCTGTGGAGAGGAGGGAGACAGGAAGCAAACAAGCCCTAGAGCGAAAGCACAGCGGGTGGGTCAGGAGAGCTGGGCGGAGGGCTCAGCAGGAGGAGGCTGAGGGGGGGCTGCTGGCATGCAGACCCCACACCCTGGCAGCCTGGCCCAGGGTGAGATTCCTTTTTGGGGGGAGGTAGTGCCAGGGCACCCCCAGTGCCTTTGTTGGGCTGGAGGATGAGAGGCATTTTGTGGACAAGTGGGCCACGGATCCCCATCCAGCAAGCCTGGGAGACCCAGCACGGAGCCTGCCTTACCAGATGTCCAGGATGAGGAGCGTGGCCACGATGGCATAGACCCCGTCGCTGAAGGCCTCCACCCGCTCCTTGCTGAGAGGCTCCTGCAGGTTGAAAGTGAAGAACTCCATGCTGTGAGCCGGGGACTCCTGGGGGCCTGTGGACGTGGCAGGAAGGAGGAGCTGGCCAAGCCCCTGGGGCTGCAGGGCCAGCAGACTCTACTGCCCTCTTCCCCAAGGGGTCGGGAGCGTGCAGGCCAGGGGAAGGGCCCCAGAGGGAGCAGCCGCCGGCACCCACCCAGGAGCCTGTCCCGGCACCAGCTGGCAGCCTTGTTGACGTAGGGGAGGAAGATGACCGTCGCCATCAGCACGTACGACTGCACAAGACACGGCACACGTCAGACCTGCTCCAAAGGGAGGTGCGTGCACACCTCGTCGAGGTGGCAGCTGTGCGTCACACCACCAGGAGAGCGGGGACAGTGCCTGCTAACCACTTCCGAGGGGGTCCGTGTCCACAGACGGACCCACTGACAGGGGGTGGGGTCCGTGGACCCAGAGCCCTGAGGGTGCTCAGCACCACCCCTGGCAGGGATGGGACTGAGGCCACAGCAAACTCCCCTCGCACCCACCAGGACAGCTACTGTGAAAACACCAGACACAGTGCTGTCGAGGACACAGGAACCTGGTGCACTGACGGCAGGAATGCAGAGGTGCAGCTACTGTGGAAGACGCAGCACTTCCCACAAGGTCACACAGAACGGCCATGTGACCCAGCAGTCCCACCTCGGAGAGGCCTGCACACCACTCGCGCAGCCCACGTGCCCGCGGAGGGATGGCCAGCATGCTCCCACCCACACCGTGATGTCACTGGGGCGTGAAGAGCAAGGAGAGCCGGGCACTTGCTACAGGTGAACCTGAGCTGAGTGGAAGGAGCCAGGCACAGAAGCCTCTAGTGACATGCAATGCTCCTGGGAGCCCTTCCCCACCCCTCCCGGGGGTGTGCTCTCCCCTCCACCCTGCTCCCCACTCACCACTGGATAGAAGAACAAGGAGAAGCCTGCGGCCAGGAAGCACAGCGCTGGGCCCCGGAGGACAATGCGCAGGATGTGCTGCCGGCAGAGGCCCCGGGGGGCTGCGCACCCTACCTGAGGGTTCAGGAGGTGGGGGAAGCTGAACGCATACACCACGATCAGCGCCTGCAGGAGAGCACGCCTGTGGGAGAGGGCCCCGCAGGGACCAGCGGAGGCCTCGGTGGGGTCCTCAGAGGGCGGGGGTCAGCTGGAAGGCTCCCAGTGGGGCGTTCTGGGGGTACAAAGTGGACAGGAGCCCCTGCTCTGCTGTGTCGGGGTCTCAGATTGCTTTGCCCACCCTGCTGGGGACTTGGGAGGCCGCTCCTCACTCTCCACATTGGCACCGGAGCCCAGGCCCCAGCTTTGGGCCATGGCAGGCGCCCCAGGGCAGCACTCTCCACACCCCTTGTGCGTGGCTCTCACTGCACCACACCCCACCCGAGCACCCTGCTCCGAGAAGGCGCACTCAGGGCGGGGAGGCGGCCCGGCAGCCCACCTGCACGGCCCCGATGGCGATGACGCACACACAGAACAGGAAGATGCCCAGAGGCACCTCGGGAAAGGCCATCATCAAGGAAAACTGCAGCCAAACATAACAAGACCAGGTTCCGCAGGGCCCAGGGTTCCAGGTTCCGCAGGGCCCGGAGTTCCAGGCCCTGTGAGCCTCCTGTGGCTGGCTGGCTGGGCTGTCTTGAGATGGGGTGGCTGGGCCCTGGGGGCATCTCCTCCCAGATAGCAAGTCCATCAAACTTAGAGCTGAACCGTCATGACACCCATAAGAATCCCCCTCCCCGCCCCAATTCTGTGACCACAGACCTGGACGCTCAGATCATTGCTGTCAGAGCTCAGAGTGAGTGGGGGCCACAAGCTGGGGATGGACCTGGGATGGCCAGGAGGCCATGCACTGGGGACCAAGTGGGAGCTGGGGGTACCAATAAGCATGGGGGACACCCCTCATTGGCCCTTGGAGGCTCAGGCACATTATCTGCCGCTGCTGGGGCCCCTGGGGACCTCCCCTCCTCCACCCAGCCTACAAATCTGGGTGTCTCCTTCCCCTGGCAGGCCTGGCTGCCGGCACCCCCAACCTCCTCTCCTTGTCCTGCATCACCTGCTGGTCTGGGGTTCTGAGTCCTTTGGCCCAGAAGAGGGCAGGCTGGGCCCGGGGGTGGGGTGGGGTGCAGCAAGGCCTGGAAATGGCCAGCACTCACTGTGTATGGCAGGAAGGTGATGGTCATCATGCAGGCCTGGGAAGCAGGAGGGATGCAGGGGAGGAGGAGGGATGGAAGGCAGGTCACTCCAGGCTGGCTGTGTCCCCCTCCTGCCACCCACCCCTCGCAGAGGGTAGGGCTCCTCTCCCTGTGCCCAGGGAGGCCATGAGGAACTGGCTGTGGGTGGGCAACCGAGAGGCCGAGAGCCTGCCTTCACTTCTCCCTGGAGGGAGGGTCTACACACAGAATCGTTACCCCCAAAAGAAAGGGAGCTCACCAGGTTGAGCAAGGCAAGGGTATCGTCTATTTTCCCAACAACCTGGAACAATCTAAACAGAAAAACAGGAAGAGATGCACCATCAATAATGCAGCTCTACCAGCATCAAAACACTCTCCGTGTTTTCCGATTAAATCATGACAGTGCAACTTTTAACCGAATTTAAAACACTACACAGTGCGTGGAGGTTGGAAAACACGAAAGACAGACACGCCCTGGAAGCTGCCGGGTCGACTTTCCCACGGATTTCCCGTGTCCCCTGGCGCTCAGCTGCCACTGGGGCAGACTCCGTTTGTGGGACAGTGCATGTGCGTGGTAGCTTGGGGGTCACTGTCCTCGCAGCTCAGGGCGGGCTGGGGCTGCTCCCCGCCCCCGCTCCCCGCAGCCGCAGAGGAAGGCCTGTGTGGGGCCCAGGAAGGGGGCTCCCACGGGTGAGGCCCCGTGCCCGCACACCGGAGACCGGAACCCTGTGAAGGACACGCTCCAGCTTACAGTGGATTTGCTTGTCAAGCCTCGTGTCCAAAGACCACGTTAAAAGGAAACACGTGCCCGGCCCGTGTGGCACGGTTGGCTGGGCGTTGTCCCAGGCACCCAAAGGCTGCCCGTTGCCTCCCAGTCAGGACGCACGAGTGGCGTGCTGTTCTTAGTAGGGGGCGTGCAGGAGGCAGCCGATCCATGCTTCTCTCTCTAAAAGTGAAAAGTCTTTAAAAACATTGGGCACCCGCACCGACCCTGCCGGAGCAGCCTGAGTGGCAGAGCGGTTCCAGGCCGCGCAGGAGCACAGGAGACACTCAGCTGCCACAGGGCTCCCAAGACCAGCCAGCCGCTGGACACACCCTTTCCTGAGCCCTGCCATCCTCATCCTGCCCCTGCGGAGGTTCTCCTCAGGGCTCTGACCCCGAGGATGTGCCTTCTCCTGGGCTGGGCTCAGTGGCCCTGCTCCTCCCACTGGGTGGTCCATGTCCAGCCAGGGGCCACGGGTGGCCTCAGGGCCAGTACTCAGGGCAAGCCCTGGACGAGGAGCACAGCCCCAGGGTGGGCCTGGGGATCCGTGCTGGTCCCCAGGCCGGGCCTCCAGCAGTTGGGTGTGGCCTCGGGTGAACCAGCTCTGAAGGGAGCCTGCTCAGCCCTCCGCAGGACGGGGCAGGGCGGGGCCGTGCCGTGCCATCTACTCCTAGGAACACTTTGCTGACAACACGGGGAGTCTTAATGCAAGTGCCAGCGCCTAAAAGCCTCACACCAGTGTCCCCACACTGGAGAGTGTGTTCTTTCCAGGGGTGCCCCGCCCCACCCCAACTCTTTCCCTGGGAGCCTTCGTTGGGCTCGGGCCCCCGCAGCTCTTGAGGGCTTTCCCCTCAGATCTTAAGGAAACGTTTCCTCCCTGAGAGAAAGCTCAGGCCTAGGACGTGGGTCTGAAGCCCTCCAGGCTGCCGTCTCCGCGGCAGGTGTCACAGGGAGCAGAGGGTGGCATTGCAGTGCCCGGTGCCCTGCCTGTGTGGTCTCCAGGCAGCTTTGGGTGGCGGCAGCCAGGCCCTACCCGCCCTGCTCTACGCAGAGAACAACGCAGAGGCTTGGACCGAGACTGGGGGAGGGCCGGGGAGGGGCAGCCCAACACCCCTGGGGCTTAGCCCAGGAAGTGAGGGGCAGCTGGATGGCACCGGATCGGGTGGGTGCTTGAGGGCTTGGAGCTGCTGTGACGAGCCAGCAGGTGGGAAGCCGCAGCCCGACCCGCACCTGGTGTGTGCTGCCCAGGCCACGGTCACGATGAGAAACGTCATCAGGTACACAGCAATCCTCGTTGCTAGAAGCTTCTGTATACTTTTGTCAAACTGCTGGAACAGAAGAGCGTCCCTGTCAAATGACACACTCCAGGGCACTGCAGCCGGCGGGACAGGGCTTCCCGCACACTGCTGGTGTTCAGACACGGGTCCCTGTGAGGGGGAGGCTCGGGAGCAGCACAGCACGGCCTGGTCGCTGCTGCTGCCCCCCAGGGACTGCACCCGCATTCCTAGCTCCTGCCCAGCAAAGCTCTGGGGAGGGACTGCTGCCCCCTTTCCACACATGACAAAGCCAAGCTCAGCAGCCCCCATGGCCGGGGCATCCAGGCCAGTGTGCTCGTTGGGCGCAGACCACTGCTCTGCCACAAGGACTCCCGGTCACATGCGGGGGGCACCCCAGGGACTTCCCGAGGCCTCTGACGTGTGTCCAGCTCCCAATGCCACATCTCACTCGCAGAGTGAGGCTGTTCTCACAGATGCTCTGCCTCGGGACGAGCACCTGTTCCCATCCACCCGTGATGAAGCCGCATGTGGCCGTCACCCACTGCAAGGGACCTGCTGCCTCCCTTCTCAGCCTGTCCTCCAGGCTCCCCGGTGCCCTCCCAGCAATGTCCCCGCATGACGCCCACCCAGATTTAGGCCTGTGGGCCCTCCCCTCACCCCAGATGCTGCCGGCGCTGCCCAAGTACCTGTTCTGGGGAGATCTCCGTGTGGGTCACAGGCAGGATCTACCAACAAAGACACAAAAGGAACCAAGGGACAAGTCTTGGGCTGGGCACTGACTGCTCCTTGGACACCGTGGTGTTGGGGACTCAAGCCGGGGCCAGGCTGCTCCCCCACCCCCTTCAGCTGCCAGAGGGCTGGGAGCCCAGGATGCTGCTGGGATGGGCCAGGCTCTGCCAGAAGGCTGCGTGGAAGGGTGAGGATGGGGCCACGGGAGAGGCTCGGGCTGGGGGAGGCCCTGAGCTGGGCGGGGCTCCCACACAGACCATGACTGTGGCGATTATGGACAGTAGCGCGTCACTGAAGTTGAGCATGCGTTGGGAGTGCTGGGTCCCGTCGGCAGCGTCCTCATCCCTCGTGCTCGTGGGGGAGTCTCCCTGCACACTGAGGGCTGGCTCTGGGGTCCGGGGCTCAGACATGATGGGGCCTGTGGAGAAGCACAGGTCTGCACCTGCGGGTGCTCCTGGAGCCTGTGCCTGCTGGCTCCCCCGGAAGGCTGCAGTGCAAGCGCCCTCCAAGGTGGCGGCCCGGTCCCCAGGAGTGCGAGAGGAAGCACATGCAGGGCCACACCCAAGCGCAGCGCTGCAGTGGATGGCATGAACCCTAGCCCTACGGACTGTCAGACAGTGCTGTGGGTGACCGTCTGTCCCTGAGTGCTCCTGTGCTGGAGCCCTGGCCCACTGGGAGGCAATGAGGTGTGGGTTAGGTGAGGCCATGAAGGGCCCAGGAGGGGATGCATGCCCTGATGGGAGAGGAGACCAGAGCGTCCTCTCCCCCGTGTGAGGGCAGTGACTGGCTGCAGGTCAGGAAACAGCCCTCACTGAGAACTGAACTGACTGTCGCCCTGATCTTGGGCGTCTGGCCTCTAGGACTGAGAAGTTCCTGCTTGTACTGGGCACTGGCTTGTACTGTGGCCCAAGCCGAGACAGGAAGTAAAAGGCATGAAACAGCCACATGGACAGACTCAGAAACACCTGAGAGGAACACGTCCAGTGGCCCAAAGCTACAGTGTTGGACACTTGTGTGTTCACACAAAACAATCACCCACCTTCCACACGACTGTGGTACACAGCAAAAGCCCGACCCCCAGTGAGTCGACACCGCCCGCTGCAGGGCCGCACGCAGCAACCAGGCAGGGAGGCTGGAACCGGCTTCGCTTTCAGCTGCCTCTGACTTATCTCTTCGCCCACTGGGGCCCAGTTCGGAGGGTTTCTGACAAGCGCACAGGCTGTAACCACAACCACACCAGTTCTGTCCCCACGAGGGCCCGATGTGGTCAAGCTTTCCTCCACCCCAAACCCTGGCTGCCGCTAACACTGTTACGGTCACTCTGCCTTTTCCACATTGGCCCATAGGTGGACTTGTGCTCCACAGTGCCTTTCAAGTCTAGCTTCTCTCACTTACAATGATGCATCTGCGATTCACTGTGTTTTGTGAGTATCAATGTTTTTCTCTGTGCACTTAATTCCACGGTGTACTTACTTACATCCCTTCACCAGCTGTAAAATGTGGGTTGTTCCTAGTTTGGGGGTGGTTATGAATAAAACCACTACAGATGTCTGCACACCCATGCTCACAGCAGCGATATTCACAACAGCTAAAGGTAGAAGCAACCCAAGTGTCCACCTACGGATAAATGGACAAGCAAATATGTCCATCCACGCAGTGGAATATTACTCAGCCTTAAAAAGGAATGAAATCCCACACTGGCCAGTTTGACTCGGCAGTTAGAGCGCCGCCCACGGACTGAAGCGTCTTGGGTTCAGTCCAGGTCAAGGGCACGTACCTTGGTTGTGGTTTGGTCCCCAGTCCTCGTGGGGTTGTGCAGGAGACAACCAATCGATGTTTCTCTCTCTCTCTCTCCCTCCCTCTCTATCAGAAGATAAATGAAAAAACATTCTCAGGTGAGGATTTAAAAGAAAAAGGAAGGAAATCCCGGCACACCATGGATGAGCCTGGGGGACACTGTGCCGAGTGAAGCAGTCACGAAGGGCAGGCACTGTGTGACCTCACTTCCATGATGTACCCAGAGTAGTCAGAATCATGGAGACAGAAAGTAGATGGTGGGTGCTAGGGCAGGGCAGGGGACGGACATGGAGTTACTGTTTCACAGGGACGCAGTTTCAGTCTTGCAAGATGATGATGACTGTGAATGGTGGTGATGGCTACACCACAGTGTAAGTGTGATTAACGCAACCAACTGGACACTCAACATTGGTTAAAACGGTTAGCTTTTGTTATGTGTATTTTAGGATTAAAAAAGCCCTAGTGCCTAACACGCAAATGTGTTCAAAACACATCAGCTACATGTTACCTTTGTCATATACAAACTTTTAAGAGTCATTGCCCTGGCCAGTCTGGTTCAGCGGTTAGAGCATCAGCCCAAGGACCAAAGTCGTGGGTTTGATTCCAGTCAAGGGCACATATTTTTTTTTAAATGCACTAGGTCTATTGCTTTGTTTTTCTTTACTGATTTTAGAGAGCGAGGAAAGAAGAGGGAGAGAGAGAGATAGAAACAGCGATGAGAGAGAACATCGACTGGCTGCCTCCTGCACGCCCCCCACTGGGGATTTGGCCCACAACCTGGGCACGTGCCCTGACCGGGAATTGAACTAGTGACCTCTGGGTGCAGGGTCGATGCTCAACCCCTGAGCCACACTGGCAGGGCCGGGCCATGTCTCTTCTAGCCCCAGCAATGCTTGAGTCACTGCGAGCAGGGGGAGCCTAGTGAGGCGGAGCAGGAGCTCTGCCTGGATGTGCACCTGGAGCTAGACTGACCCAGAGTCCTGAATGCCAGGCCAGGAGCTCGGAAATCACTGTGAAGATTATGCAGAGATGATTGTGCATATAGTTTGTATCTATTTATATGTTCCAGATACAAGTCCATTAGCAGACATGTGATTTGCAAATATTTGCCCCCAGTTTGGGCTGTCTTTTCATTCTCTCAGCTTTTCTTTTTAAATCTTCACCCAAGGACACTTCTGCATTTATCTTCAGATAGAGTGGGAGGGAGAGAGGGGGGAAAAGAGAGAGAGAGACAAACATCGATGTGAGATACATCGAGTGGTTGCCACCCACACGACCCCAACCGAGGCAGGGACAAACCGCAACCGAGGTACATGCCCCCAGCGGGAACCAAACCCAGGACTCCCTGTTCTGCAGGCCGACGCTCTAACCGCTGAGCCAGACCAGCCAGGGCCACACTTTTTTCTTTTAACAGGTAAGACTATTTTTGAGTTTCATGTCTGCAGGAAAATGAGCAGAAAGCAGAGTTCCAGGTATGCTGACTATTCCCCTTCCAGCTTCCCCTCTTAACATATTGCACTAGTGTGGTACAGTGGCACTGCACACTGGGGAGCCAGCACTGACACATCTTAGCAACTTTAGTCCAGGTGACACTAGGGTTCACTCTTTGTGTGGTATTTCTATGGGTTTTGACAAATGCATGCCTTGTATGCACCCTCGCCGTACACACAGAAGTTTCACAGCCTTAACAATACCATGCTCTCTCCTTTCTTCCCTCCCAAACCCCTAGCCACTGCCGATGCTTTTACTGTCTTCAGTTTGGCCTTCTCCGTTGTAGGGTTGGAATGACAGAGTGCAGTCTTTTCAGATGGACTTATTTTGCTAGCAACATGGCATTTAAGGTTCCTCCATATCTTTTTGTGGCTTGAGAGCTCATTTCTTTTTTTTAATTTTTAATTTTTTTTCTTTATTGATTTTAGAGAGAGAGGAAGGGAGAGAGATAAAAACATCAATGAGAGAGAACATCAACTGGTCACCTCCTGCATGCCCCTCACTGAGGATTTGGCCCACAACCCGGGCATGTGCCCTGACCAGGAACTGAACCCGTGACCTCTTGGTGCATGGGTCGATGCTCAACCACTGAGCTACACCAGCCGGGGAGAGCTCATTTCTTTTACTACTGAATAATATTCCATTTTAAAGATGTACCATAATTTATCCATTCACCTATTGAAGGACGTTTTCAATAATGTGTTTCAAAGTCCTTAATTTTGATGTGAAGTCCACTTTATAAAAAAAATTTCTTTCTTGATCGATTTTTAGAGATCAAGGAAGGGAGAGATGGAAACAACGATGAGAGAGAACAATGACTGATTGCCTCCTGCATGCTCCCACTGGGGATTTGGCACACAACCCGGGCATGTACCCTGACTGGGAATCGAACTGGCGACCTCTTGGTGCATAGGTTGACGCTCAACCACTGAGCCACACTGTCTGGGCCAGCTTGTTTTGTTTTTTTCAATCCTCACCCGATGATACTTTACATTTACCTTCAGACAGAGTGAGAGAGAGAGAAAGAAACATAGATGCGAGAGAGACCCATGGACCGGTTGCCACCTGCACAAGTCCAGCCGGGGCCGGGGACAAACCGCAACCGAGGTATGTACCCTTGGCCAGAATTGAACCTGAGACTCTTTGGTCGCGGGCTGATGCTCCAACCACTGAGCCAAACTGGCCAGGGCTTGTTTCTTTTATGAAATGTGCTTTGGTGTCATATAAAAAAAATCTGATTCTGTTCTAGAAGTTTTATGGTTTTAGGCTTCACATTTACATTTATGATCTATTTCAAGTTAATTTTTGCACATGATGAAAGGTATGGATTGTTTGTTTATTTATTTTTTTGGTACGTGCCCCTAGTGGGAACCGAACCAGGAACTCTCTGGTTCGCAGGCCGACGCTCCAACTGCTGAGCCAAACCGGCCAGGGAGGAATCTTTCTTAACATATGGATACTCAACTTCTCCAACATCATTTGTTGAAAAGACTATTCTTTCTCGGATTACCCTTATCCTTTTGTCAAAAATAAACTGACCATGTATATATACTCATGGGCCGATTTCTGAACTCTTTATTTTGTTCCATTGATCTACTCATCTACCTTTATATCAACATCATACTGTTTTGATTACTGTGGCTTTGTAATACATCTGGAAGTTAGGTAATGTAAGTCATACCAATTTGTCCTCATTCAAGCTACTACAGAGGTACAAGTTTGGGGATGAAGACCACAAATTCAGTTTCAGGCATGTACATACATATGAGGTGAAATATCTAAGAACAAGTGTCTAAAATTCAGGAGAGAAGTGTGGTCTGGCGATACCAATTTGGGTTAAGACTGTGTTACTACAGCATGCAGAGCAGTGCCAGTATGTAAAGGTGCTCCATAGATACTTAGGAAATAAAAAGTAATCACACGATTTAGAAATCTCCACCTGATCCTAGATCATGGGAGGACAAATTCATGGCCTCCAAATTCAAACGAGCCCTCCAACTTAATCATGCTGTCTAGGCAAGTTGTCACGGGGTTTCCCGTGGAACTACTTGCAACCTTTCCACACTGCTTAACTCTGAGCTTTCTCATTTCCTTCTCGTTTTCAGTGATGTTTTCTTTTCCTCACTCACAGTGAGAAGAGGGGCCATCAGAGAATTCTTTCACTCTCATTCCAGTAAACACATAGTTACCTGCACGGCAATGCACCTCCTTCCTGCCTTTTACAACGGAAAGTGTTTTTCTATGTCCAAAGTGAAGACACCTCGGCTATGATCTGGATTCCATTCCTTCCCCTCTTCTTGGGGTCCCTACTTCACTATTCCTCCCTCCTGGCTCCCTTCCCACAGCTCTAGCCACTCAGGAGTCCCCCTCAATCTCCACCCCCCGCATTTCTTATTCCTCTACCTACATGGGGTTTCCACCTCAACACTGCAAAGAAACTTCTTCGCAAGGTCACCAATAATCTTATAGGTCTTAAATGATTGTTCTTTATTGATTTTTACAGAGAAAGAGAGGGAGAGAGATAGAGACATTGATGAGAGAACATCGACTGGCTGCCTCCTGCATGCCCCTCACTGGGGATTGGGCCCACAACCTAGGCATGTGCCCTGACCCAGAATCGAACCAGCGACCTCTTGGTGCCATGGGTTGACACTCAACCACTCTGCCACACCAGCAGGGCGGTCTTTTTTTTTAAATGTTTTAATTTTTTAGAGAGAGGGAGGGAGAGAAACATTGATGTGGGAGAGAAACATCAATTGACTGCCTCCTGCATGCCCCCTACTGGGGATTGAGGCCCTGAGTCTGAAACCCAGGCATGTGCCTTGAGCAGGAATCGAATGGGGACCTCTCAGGCCATGGAGCAATGCTCAATCCATTGAGTCACACTGGCCAGGGCATCATAGGTTTTTTCTCCCTTTTTCTATTTGACTGTTAAGGTAGCATTTGACACTACCTTTTTGTCTCTGGAAATATCCTTCCCTTAGCTCCGTGACACATGCTGCCTCCCGCTGGTCCATGCTCTGGAGGCTCTAACCCTTTTCTCGCTAACAGGCTGTCCTCAGCTTTTAGGGCCAACTGCCACTGCATGCTGAGGACACCCCCATGGCTGTCTACTCTTTCCTGAGCCTCCAGCCTGTGTTCCTTTACCAGACAAGTGCACTGGCTGGACAAGCCATGTGACCTGTGTGCAGTTCTAGCTGTATAACTTGTTGACCTTGGCCATTGGTAATGACATTGTTATGTTTTCTCATCCAAGAAAAAACAAAAAAGGTGGTGAGGGGGAGATTGGCCAGACTGTGCTTTCTTCTCCAAAACATTCTAGGATCATTAAAGTGAACCACTGCACAGAAGGATGCGCGAGCAGCAAGCCGCTGGATAAACTAGGCTACTGTTACTATCAGGACGGTAACAAAGTAGCCAGTCCGAGAAGGGAGTTCATAGCTTGGCATTCTGGAAGGACTGGGGCTTTGGCGTCCCTTTTCCTGTTTGACAGCCAATTCTCTGTGGACGGTGTTGCAGCCTGCGGTGCCTACTGACCCCGCCGGGAACAAAAATGAGCCTACTTGGGCAGGGGGAATGCTGTCTGCCCTAAGGGGACAGCTGTAGGTGACCGGTCACACCCGAGTCCTGGGTCTGATTTTACTACAGAAGCTGGGAAACTGGGTTTTTAAACGAAAGTTTTTCAGTCTTTAGTAACCACCAACTCTTAAAAAGCAAACCCACTTATGTGGCCCTCGCCAAACCCCACAAGCCCGGACCGTCCACGGTGCAACGAGTCTTACTCACTAACCGGCGCAGGGGCTTTCGGTCGCTACGAAGCTGACCTCTCCGGCGGTCACCGCCCTCCTTGCCCGCCCGCCTGCAGGGCCGCCGCCCGCCGCGCACGCAGCCGGCTCCGCCCCGGCCACGGCGGAGCTCCTGACCACCGGCGGAGCCGGAGAGCTGGGCCGGGAGCTGGGCTACCTGCCGGAGGCGCCGCGGCCAGTGCTCTGAGCGCCGGTGTCCCGCTCAGCGGGAGCCGGGAACGCGACGGCCGGAAGTTCTCCGCGACCAGGGCTCTGCGCACGCGCGACCCGCGACCAGGGCTCTGCGCAGGCGCAGGCGCCCGGCGGGGCGGAAGTGAGGGCCGGCGTCCTTCCGGGCCTGCGTCACGGCGTCGGGGCGGAAGCTGGAGCGGCTCGGGGCCGGCGGTTGCTGAGCGGGCCCGGACTCCCTGGACCCGAGCCGCTGGGCGCCCGCCGCCGGCGCCGCCATGTCGCTGCTGCAGTCTGCGCTCGACTTCCTGGCGGGCCCGGGCTCCCTGGGCGGCGCGGCCGGCCGCGACCAGAGCGACTTCGTGGGGCAGACGGTGGAGCTGGGCGAGCTGCGGCTGCGGGTGCGGCGGGTCCTGGCCGAGGGTGAGGCGCGGGCCGGGCGGCGGAGGCCGGGGCAGGTTCGGGCACTTCCTGGTCGGGCGTGGGGGCAGGTGGGTGAGCGGGGTCAGGTGGGGCGAGGGGGTCAGGTGGGGCGTGGGGGCCGGTGGGGCGAGGGGGCTGGTGGGGCGTGGAGGCAGGGGGGGCGTGGGGGCCGGTGGGGCGAGGGGGCTGGTGGGGCGTGGGGGCAGGTGGGGCGTGGGGGCAGGTGGGGCGTGGGGGCCGGTGGGGCGAGGGGGCTGGTGGGGCGTGGAGGCAGGGGGGGCGTGGGGGCCGGTGGGGCGAGGGGGCAGGTGGGGCGTGGGGGCAGGTGGGGCGTGGGGGCAGGTGGGGCGTGGGGGCCGGTGGGGCGAGGGGGCTGGTGGGGCGTGGAGGCAGGGGGGGCGTGGGGGCAGAGCGGGGTCAGGTGGGCCGAGGGGGCCCGTGGGGCGAGGGGGCAGGGGGGGCGTGGGGGCAGAGCGGGGTCAGGTGGGCCGAGGGGGCAGGTGTGGCTGACCTGGGTCGGAGGGTGAGTCTGCGGGGGGTTTCGGGGAGCCGGGGCTCCTTTGGGGGCCAGACCCCGAGACCGGCGCGGAGGGTGGGCTCCGACACGCCCTTCCCTTCGCGGCGCGGGCTGCGCTGTGGACATGGGCTGCGCCCCTCCGCGAGCGGGGTCTGGGCTCCTTGGCGCCGAGCGGTGGCGGCCCTGCCGGGCCTGGGGCGGCCCTGGAGGGCGCTGTTCCTGCTGGTCCTCGCTACCCGAAGGCCCTCGCCCTCCCTCACGCGGAAGTCACCGCCGGCCCCTGCCCTGCCCCGGGTTCTCCTTGCTCCGTTCCCGGCGCCCACAGGCCTGTCGCCGCTCCCCCCTGCGGCTTACGGGCTGCACACGTTGGCTTGGGGTCTGGCCCTGAAACGGCCGTCTAGATCCCCACGTGGACTCGCAGCGGGAAAGGCCAGACCTGCCCGCGTGGCTCTCGGGGGAGACTCGGCCTGCCCCGGGGCGCCCTGCTGCCAGGGTGAGGCGGGCACCTGGCTGACGTGACCTGGCTGGGGTCCTGACGCCCCTATTTCTCCAGGCCTGAGGGGTGTTCTGGACGAGTCATCTTCACGCACTTTTCCTCCACTGCTTCTTTCAGAAACAGACAGATTGGGGGGTGACTTATCGGGAAATCCACAGGCTCTACTCTTTTCAGAGGTGGGGCGGGTACCTCTACTGACACTGGAGTGTGGCATTCTCACATCTGTCAGAGCAGTGAGGTCCCCCAGGCCTCTTCGTTTGTCCTGAAAATACCAGGCCATTGTCTTGGCTCTTTAAGAAACTCATGGTGAACAGTAGGTGGCTTCCGCCTTAAAATGAGACGTGTACTCTAGTGACAAGAGGACAGTGCAGTGCAGGGGATCCTCGGGTGGGCCCAACTGAGGTGAGAGGGGTGACAGGAGCAGGGGCAGGGCTGGGGGGCAATCACAGATGGTAAGTGGGTCATGGAAAGAAGGAAGCCCGTGCTTTGCTCAGCGCCCAGGAGGAATGAGGAAATGTGACCAGCGGGTTCCTTGTGCTTTGTAGGCAAGTCAGGAGGTAAAAGTAGCCAGTGCTGTGAGGTGCTGTTGACTTTCTGCTTTTGAACTTAGTAGGCGGCTTGCTCGTGAACCATCTTTTTAAATTGAAACAGTTGAAATTGGTGTGAAGTCTTTCACCTAAAACATGACCTCGGAACCGAGGTTGTGGAAATTCAGACTGTCTTGTATAAATACGAGGAAAACCCCAAGCCCTAAACCCTTGGGTTCCAATGCTGAGCATTTCAGAAGGCTTCAGGTTTTGGAAAGATAATGTGTATCTTGTGTATGCTAGGGTATCTCCCACAAGGGTTGGGAAGTATTGTAATCAAATTACAATAACATATGGGTAATTAAATGAGTTGGTATCCTCACCGTGGGATAAGTTTTTAAATGGCCCCACATCAGTTCTTGTCAGGTGTTGCCCAGATAAGTTTACGGTAGGTGACGTTTTGTTGTCAAATGATTTAAGACGAAAATAGGGTTTTCATAGCTTTTTGGAACTTGTAACTGTAGCACAAAATGGGTTGTGGGCAGAGCTGTGGAGCCTGATAGCTTTCTAGTATTTTCAAATTTTGATCTGTTTTCATTTAAATTTTTAAAAAGTAAAGGGAAACTACTGGGCTGACCCCTAGTTTGGGAGATGCCGGTCCAGTGGGTCCTTGGGAGACATTCCTGTGCCCTCCTGCTGTGGCTTTGCATGCTCTCGCTTCCTCCCCCCAGCATGGAGAGGTGGGTCACTGCCACCTCTCCATGGCTGTGTCTCTGGACTTGCTGCTAGCCAGGTGGATGAGGTGGTATGTGGGCAGCTGTTGGGAAAAAGAAGACAAAGCCACACAGCTGTAACTAGTCACGTGCGTGTGGTTAGAAGTTACGTGTCATTTCAGTCGGCCAGCACCTGTCTGCTGGGACGTACCATGCTGTGCATGTACCCGTGGCTGTGGATGCACTTGATGTGGCTCCTGTGTTCTCTCTTGGGTCGGGCTGGCCTGAGAAGCCTGAGGGCACACCCCACACTAATTCCGGGCCGGCCACCTGTTGGCAGCCCTAGCTTCCCACCCCTTTGCCTCCTGGCCACTGCTTTTGGAGGACCCCTCCTTTCATGGCGCAGGCTCTTGTGATGGGTGGGTGCTGGACATCAGGTATCCACAGGCGGCTGCAGGAGTGTGTGATAGTCAGGACCCTTGGCTGCAAGTTTTGGAAACCACTGGGGTTGGCCTGATGGATGGAGAGGGTCTATGATGAGTCAGGACATCCTCTGCAGCTATCCACAGTGCAGTGCGTTTCGGGGGATTTTAAAAGGTGACTTGTCAGCTATAGGTCACCGGCATACAGCACATCCCTTTCTACACGGGAAGCAGTCTTACCCCTGTGAGTTTCTTCTCCGACCCACATGGTTTTATGGTCCTTGTTTTTTTGCACCTGCCCGGGCCAGAGGCCTGAGTGCAGGGGCTGCTCTCCTCATGTCTGTCCACCCCAAGGTTCCACCTGTACTGAACTGTCCTTCCATCGTTGGGGTGTGTTTTATTTGAAGTCCTATAGGATAGAAGCCACCCAGGAGTGCTGAACAGATGTTTTCTCTTCTCCAGACACCTCAGAACACAGATAACCAGGGTCATTGTAGCAGGAGCTCGGGGCTTACGATGTGGCCCAGGTCTCATCCCTGATAGGTTGCCCACTCTTAGGTCCTCTCACTTTCAAGTTGGTGGCTTTGCCATCAGTCCCTTATCCACTGTGATACACCCATGTGAAATAGTAGTGACGGCCACCGCCACAGCACTTATAGGCTCTGACTCTTCGGCAGGCACAGTCCCTGTGCTTCATTTGGACTGTGATCCTGACAGTGGCTGAGGTCTGGGTTTGCTAAGGCCACCAACTGGTGAGCGATGGGATCAAGGCTGGGAGCCCAGGGAAAGCCACCTTGCCTGGACTCTTGGTGTCTGCGCGCTGCGTTGGTCTGCAATGGTGGGCCCGCCTGTCTAGCTTGTCCTGTGGGAAGCGGTGTGCAGAGCATATGCGGGTGGCAGTACACTCACCCCTGGGGCACTTCCGGGGCTGTCGCTGGGGCTGGTGGGAGTGGAGCGCAGGCCACTGCTCTTTTTTGCCCTCTGCCTTAGCTGATCGTGTATAGTAACCAGTGCCTGTTACCACCCCAGTTTCTGTCTGTTGGCATACAGATGCCTGGACTGGAACACCGTGGCAAGGAGGTCACTGATGGGGAGTCACTGGGGGGAGGTCATTCTGGTGAGAGGTGACCGTGAGGAAGGTCACCATGGGAGGAGGTCGCCGTGGTGGGAGGTCACCATGGGGAAGGTTGCTGTAGGTGTGTGGGGGGTCCTCACTGTTGGGGAGGTTGCTGTGGTGGGAGGTCACCATGGGGAAGGTTGCTTTTGGGGGGTTACCTGGGAGGAGGTTGCTGGGAGGGTGTCAGCCTGAGAGGAGGTCACTGTGGGAGGGCTGTTCTCTGTCCTCTCAGGCTCGGCTGCTCCTCTCCGTGGACTCTTGCTGTCTGGTGGGCCTGTGTCCCTGTCAGATAGGTAATGGTCACGTGTTTGTGGGATGGAGGCTGCAGAATCCTGCTCCGTGAAGCATCTGTTTCTTGTGTTGTTGTTGCCCCTCACTGGAGGATATTTTTCCATTGATTTTTAGAGAGAGTGGGAGGGAGAGAGAGACATTGATGTGAGGGAGACACATCGATTGGTTGCCTCCTACATGTGCCCTGACTGGGGAGGGGATCGAATTTGCAACCCAGGTATGTGCCCTTGACTGGAATTGAACTCCCTTCAGTGTGGGAAAGGGGGATGCTCTAACCACTACGCAGCACTGTCCTAGGTGAAAGTGTCTGTTTCTTAGAGACTTGGAAGTCCCCTGAACGCGAATGCTCGTGTGCTCCTGGTCCTCACACTCCCAGTGCCTGCATGGAGGGCCTGTGGGGCTCTGGTCTCCCTGCACCCCCTCTGCGTTGGGTGAAGAGTGGTGTCTGGTGTTGATGGGCATCTTTCAGTGCTTGCCTGCATGCTCTCCACCCGGACTTCCACATGCACAGCCTGGGCCTGTTACTTTGCTTAAAAACAATTGAAATAGAGTTATTGGCATCTGGTAAAACACAGTTTAACAGTTGCATGCACCTGTGCAGCCAAACACCTGTCGAGATAGAGACCCGTTGAATCACCCCACAAAGGTTTTCGTGCCCCCAGTCATCGCCCCCACCCACCTCCTGCCAACATCACCTCCACTCTCTGTGACACCCTGGTGTTGAAGGCGTTTCCTTCATTACAGCACTCTTCTGATCGCTCGGCTGCTGGTGGACATTGAGGGCTTCCCATCTGCATCATCTATTGCGAAAGAAGCTGCCAAGAACACTCTTTTTACAAGTGTTTTGGGGAACATGTGCTTTTCTTTCAGTGGGACTGCTGGCCATGGTTCACTGCACGGGGAGCAGCAGCCCTTCC